TAAAATATATATTAGTATGTTTCAACTAATATATTTATTAGTAGAGTGTACCAGTTGTATAAACAAGTACTAATATCTTCATAAAATATATATTAGTATGTTTCAACTGATATATTTATTAGTAGAGTGTACCAGTTGTATAAACAAGTACTAATATCTTCATAAAATATATATTAGTATGTTTCAACTGATATATTTATTAGTAGAGTGTACCAGTTGTATAAACAAGTACTAATATCTTCATAAAATATATATTAGTATGTTTCAACTGATATATTTATTAGTAGAGTGTACCAGTTGTATAAACAAGTACTAATATCTTCATAAAATATATATTAGTATGTTTCAACTGATATATTTATTAGTAGAGTGTACCAGTTGTATAAACAAGTACTAATATCTTCATAAAATATATATTAGTATGTTTCAACTGATATATTTATTAGTAGAGTGTACCAGTTGTATAAACAAGTACTAATATCTTCATAAAATATATATTAGTATGTTTCAACTGATATATTTATTAGTAGAGTGTACCAGTTGTATAAACAAGTACTAATATCTTCATAAAATATATATTAGTATGTTTCAACTGATATATTTATTAGTAGAGTGTACCAGTTGTATAAACAAGTACTAATATCTTCATAAAATATATATTAGTATGTTTCAACTAATATATTTATTAGTAGAGTGTACCAGTTGTATAAACAAGTACTAATATCTTCATAAAATATATATTAGTATGTTTCAACTAATATATTTATTAGTAGAGTGTACCAGTTGTATAAACAAGTACTAATATCTTCATAAAATATATATTAGTATGTTTCAACTAATATATTTATTAGTAGAGTGTACCAGTTGTATAAACAAGTACTAATATCTTTATAAAATATATATTAGTATGTGTCAACTGATATATTTATTATTAGAGTGTACCAGCCGCATAAACAAATATTAATACCCCTATAATAAATTATTATGTTTCAACCGATCCATCTATTAGTAAAGTACTCCAGTTGCAAACGTTAATAGCCTTGAAATAAATACATTCAGTATCCTAATTGTCCCGCAGCGACAATTTTATGCCTCTAACGCGCGTAGTTTGACATTACAAAGCGGAAGATCTCGTGTGACTTAACAGCGCCAACGTTATCTCCAAAGGTTATTATGGAAATATCAAATGAAGGCCTTCTAAAAGAAAATTGCCGTGAACTCTTTCCGCGCCATGTAATTTTTAGAGGCGAAAGCAAATTGTCTTTAATGATGATAATAAGGAATAGAGGCGGAGAGAGAGAGAGAGAGAGAGAGAGAGAGAGAGAGAGAGAGAGGAACGAGCCTCGCCCGTCGCGTCGTTACAAACGACGGCGAAAAACTCCGTTCGCTCCGACGTCGTTTTCCGCCGCAGCAATTTCATTTTCCTGATAAAAAGTGTTCGTCCGAGCACTCGTTCGTTGTAGCCCTGTCCCATTGTATTTGTTTTCGTTGAATCAGTACCTGTTGCTTATCGGAACGTGGTCTACCGAATTGCGCGACTACAGGGTGTCCGAGTTAAATCAACCCTCTCGAGTGTTTGGAAAATTAATTGTTCACATTTTAAGTGTGTGTGAATACTTTCAGTTTCATATATATTTGTGTTGTCAATTTTATTTTTTATTATTATTTTTACTGTTATCAATTTGCATAATTATTTTCTGTTACACAGTATTATTATTTTCAGTTTTACGAGGCTGTGTTATTGTTCATTTGTTTTATAGATTCGTGTTGTTATTGTTAGTTCTATAAATCTATATTGTTATTGCCAGTTTTATAAATTTATTTAAATTATTATTATATTTTTTATATTATTATATTTATTTTATTTTTTATATTATATTTATTCTTTTACATTATATTTTTTTTATATTTATATTATTATATTTTATATTCTATATTATTATATTTATTTAAATTATTATTATTGCCAGTTTTATAAATTTATTATTTAAATATGTATTTTTATTTCTAGTTTCATAAATCTGTATTATTATCTTCAGAGTCTGTTCTGTGCATTATTATTTTAAATCTTATCAATTTAAATCGCAATTTACTTTCAACGTTGTCGTGTCATAATTATCAGGTTAATTTTGCGTTGAACAAGTAACTCGATGTTGAACATTCGAATTCCGGGGTACATTTTAAAAAGCCCCGAATATCGTTATTCCGTCGATTACGTCAACGTCCGCCGACTAGAATTAACATTCCTCCTCGAAAGCACAACTTCCAGGCTAAACGAACAAATCCTCTCCGACTCTCTCCCCCTCTCTCTCTTTCTCTTGAATCATCCGTGAACTCTCGCGGAGCATTTTCATAAAAATTCAATGACGCTCCCGAAGAATCATGAGCTGTAGGTCGTTAGGGGATGTACATTCTTTTGCATGAAATTTGCGTTCGAAATGTTCGTTCCCTACGGAGGAAGCTTAAGCGTGTCAGATTTGGTGGTCTTGGGCGAAAATTCAACACGCCCACCACGTCCACAAGCCAGCGATTGGGATACTTGCTATTCAATGCGACTCGAGGCTGCACACGCTGATAGCGATCAGAAGAACCGACCTGCCGAGATCACATTTGTTGCCTCGTTGCTGGATCAACCTCCCCGAGAAACATCCGCCATTTGTCCCGAATAAAATCGTCGCATCTCCATTCGTCGAGGACGTCGCGAAAGGGAAGAATCGACAAGGGATTTCCGATAGGAAATTCTTTCGGATCGCCGAGTACAGTAAATTCTTCCCAATTGTCCGTCAGTTCGGAAATAAAAATGGACAATTTGGGAAGAGAGGATACGATCGTTCGGGTCTCGCGGCTCGTTTTTTATTGTCCATTTTTGCTTACAAACTGAAGGACAATCGGGACAAACATACAGAATTTATTGTAATTTCTACAGAAAAATGCTGGAGAATAGATTATTATTCAGAGAATATATTGATAAAATCATCGATTTAAATCCTTAACTTTTTAGGGCGCGATGCGACAAAAAATGTCCTACCTTTTTGATGCACGATAATGAGTGGTGGCCAAGGAATTCGAATAAATTCAGGCCGAATAAAAGGCAGAAATTTTCTCCGAATCTATAACAAAATTGCAACGTGCATCGTGAGGGTACAAACTATGTTGCACCCGAAAAATTTGCCCAAAGATCGCAAAATTTCGGGAGCACATTTTTGCAAAATTCCGCTCTCAATTCAGGCCGAATAAAAAGCAGAAATTTTCTCCGAATCTATAACAAAATTGCAACGTGCATCGCGAAGGTGCGAACATTGTTGCAGCCGAAAAATTTGCCCAAAATCGCAAAATTTCGGGAGCACATTTTTGCAAAATTCCGCTTTCAATTCGGGCCGAATAAAAAGCAGAAATTTTCTCCGAATCTATAACAAAATTGCAACGTGCATCGCGAGGGTACAAACTATGTTGCACCCGAAAAATTTGCCCAAAAATCGCAAAATTTCGAGAGCACATTTTTGCAAAATTCCGCTTTCAATTCGGGCCGAATAAAAAGCAGAAAATTTCCCCGATCGATAACAAAATTGCAACGTTCGTCGCAAGGCCGGTGGCAATAACAAATAATAACGGCGCGTGCAGTCGCAGCGGAATAAACGCGACCGTTTAGCTTAACGAGCCCGATAACCATATAAAAATCACGTTTGTCCGAACAACGCGTTTCGGTCGCGTCGGGTTTCCACGGGAAGATGAACCGGCGGGTAATCCCGATGGGCGACCGCCGCGGTAGAACGCGGGATCGTTGTAAACCGTTAAAAGCGTTCGAAAGCATTTTTCCGCGTCGGTGTCGCCGGGCGTTACGGCGAGGTTTAACGCTTTTATTACAAACCTTGTTATTATACGCAACGCGGCGATCAAAGCCGGCGCAGAGCACGGCGCTTCCGCGAAATTCGTGTGCCGCCGTGGCTAATCGATTTCCGGTTCCGCAAAACGGCCCGCGCTTACGTCGATTCTCGCGAAATATCTTTGACGTTGAACGACCAAACACGCCGCCGCTAAAATCGTTCAATTTCTGTTTCAATGCTGCCGGCCTTCGTTATTCTACGCTTCGTCGCGTCGCTTCGCGTCGCGTCGCGGCGCGTGTCAATTTAACTTAATTTCATTTCACTCGTTTACAGCGGAATCCCTTTACTCCTGCAAATTATGTTCGCGCGGGGACGGAACGTGCAGACGGCGCGATCGTAACTGGGCGAATTTCATTTCAAAGAAGAAATAAGACATATTTTTACACGTTATATTATTAATATTTCGGTCGCGAAGAACGATCTTTATTTGGCTGAACATATATCGTTCGAATAATTACGATAATAATTTGTGCGTTATTTCTTACTTGCAAGCGAAATGTTATTTCTTTTCTTTTTTTAGTTGGATTTTAGGGAAAGACGAGCGTTTAGTGTAATTGTTTTAAAATAATTTCTCAAGTTTTTAAACTAACCGAAGAAATAAAGGGTAACGAAATTAAGGAAAGAATTATTATTTTATTTTGTTACTGTATTGTTGTTATTGTGTATAATATTATTGTATATATTGTATGTACATATTATGATGTATACATATGTATATTCTTGCACATATCGTGTGTACATATTATGATGTATATACATGTATATTTTTGCATATATCATATGTACATATTATGTGATGTATACACATGTATATTCTTGCATATATTGTATGCACATATTATGATCTATACATATGTATATTCTTGTGTATGTTATATGTACATGTTATTATGTATATATTCTTGTATAATACTACGTATATGCACTTGCTGTAATCTGTAATATTACTATTAATTAGGAATAAAGTTAAGATGAAGGCAGTACTTAAATGTACCTGAACGTTCCTGAGGGGCGAATTTGCAAAGGTTCCCGAATGTTAAGAGAAAGAAAGAGAAAGATGCGCACAGATGTCACGAACGCATTGGATAATAATGATCGTTTTTGTTTCGGTCGCAGGTCCGCCCGGGCAGCGTGGAAAAAGGGGAAAGAGGGGAAAAGTCGGGCCTCAGGTGAGTAGACGCGCTTTTTTACCACCGACAAAGCACAGAGAACCTTCCTGTCCTTTTTGCGCACCCAATACGCTTGTACACGTATTTGTAACGTTCCCGTATTTTAGAGTGCAGTTTCATGCATGTTGCATTTAACGACGACGACGCGTAAACGAGTCTTCGCGAAAATTCGCGACTGACGTCGTCGCACGTGCACGCCGCGCGCCGGCCCGTTTACGGTCGAATGCTCGCGTTCGCGATGAAATACGCGCAGTGGTAAAAAATGTGACCGCCAACCGACGAATCCTCCGTGGATATGCACTTAACGAAATCCGAAAATGGTCGAATAATGCTAGATTGAAATTCTCGGGAAATAAATCCGTATATTGTTGCTTCCAAAATTTGTTGTATTATAATATGATAATGGGACATTATAGTATGCTAGTGTAACGTTAAAATATAATATAATAATATAACCTTATAATATGTTAATATAGCGTTATAGTATAATAATATAACGTTATAATTTACTAATATAATGCTATAATATAATAATATAACGTTATAATATATTAATGTAGCGTTATAATATAATAATATAACGTTATAATATGTTAATATAGCGTTATAGTATAATAATAATAATATAACGTTATAATATGTCAATATAGCGTTATAGTATAATAATATAACGTTATAATTAACTAATATAACACTATAATATATTAATATAGCTTTATAGTATAATAATATAACGTTATAATTAACTAATATAACACTATAATATATTAATATAGCTTTATAGTATAATAATATAACGTTATAATTAACTAATATAACACTATAATATATTAATATAGCTTTATAGTATAATAATATAACGTTATAATTAACTAATATAACACTATAATATATTAATATAGCTTTATAGTATAATAATATAACGTTATAATTAACTAATATAACACTATAATATATTAATATAGCTTTATAGTATAATAATATAACGTTATAATTAACTAATATAACACTATAATATATTAATATAGCTTTATAGTATAATAATATAACGTTATAATTAACTAATATAACACTATAATATATTAATATAGCTTTATAGTATAATAATATAACGTTATAATTAACTAATATAACACTATAATATATTAATATAGCTTTATAGTATAATAATATAACGTTATAATTAACTAATATAACACTATAATATATTAATATAGCTTTATAGTATAATAATATAACGTTATAATTAACTAATATAACACTATAATATATTAATATAGCTTTATAGTATAATAATATAACGTTATAATTAACTAATATAACACTATAATATATTAATATAGCTTTATAGTATAATAATATAACGTTATAATTAACTAATATAACACTATAATATATTAATATAGCTTTATAGTATAATAATATAACGTTATAATTAACTAATATAACACTATAATATATTAATATAGCTTTATAGTATAATAATATAACGTTATAATTAACTAATATAACACTATAATATATTAATATAGCTTTATAGTATAATAATATAACGTTATAATTAACTAATATAACACTATAATATATTAATATAGCTTTATAGTATAATAATATAACGTTATAATTAACTAATATAACACTATAATATATTAATATAGCTTTATAGTATAATAATATAACGTTATAATTAACTAATATAACACTATAATATATTAATATAGCTTTATAGTATAATAATATAACGTTATAATTAACTAATATAACACTATAATATATTAATATAGCTTTATAGTATAATAATATAACGTTATAATTAACTAATATAACACTATAATTTATTAATATAGCTTTATAGCTGTCTCTTATACACATCTAGATGTGTATAAGAGACAGTAGTATAATAATATAACGTTATAATATATTAATATAGAGTTATAGTATAATAATATAACGTTATAATATAATAATAATAATAATAATATAATGTCATAATATGCTAGTGTAACGTTACACTATAATAATAACAATATAATGTCACAATATGCCAGTGTAACGTTATAATATAATAATAATAATATAATACTATTATTATAATATTATAAAATAATAGTACAACGTTGCAAAAAAAAACTTCGAGAAGTTCGAGCAAATTCGTTCACGCCCTCAGCGACGACAAATTTCGATGAACAGTTCAGCGTTAATATAAAGAACGCCGTAATTACGTGGCCGAATTGTCCGAAAGCGAACGGTCCAAGAACGTGTCTCCGATTTGCCAGAATCTCGAGAGGACATGCCCGTGATGCAACAAAACCGTAAACAGTGTCATCGGAGCGCAGCGCGGCGTTGTGTAAATTCGCGACTGTTGTTCTTGGCAAATGTCCATTTCAACTAGGCCCGAGCAATTCACGGTTCCATCGCGGCCGCGTTCGATCGTCGAGGATACACTTCGCGAACAAACGCGGGATCGACCTGCAACGGAACCGTCGTACTTACCAGCGTGCACACAAGTCGTCGCCGAAAGTATACGTTGACAATGTTTTCGTTTTATTTGTTTTTTCGAACGAGACGACTTTTCAAAGGTTCAACCGAATGTCCGACATTTTCGCGAGATTTTCTTGAGATTTTATTTGTATTATTTTCGATCTGTTATTTATTATTTTGTACGTCGAATGTGAAACACAGTGCTAACGTTGAAATAGTTGAAAAATGCTGTTGCATTCGACTTATAATTAACGGAGACAATATTTATTCCGCATGAAAATCTACGGACTGGTTACAATTCAAGTATACGTTACCCTAATTTGAATTTTTCGCAAAAGTTTTGGACGTTTTCTAGCGAGCATTTTATATCATATATGTATATATACAATATATTATATAATATTAAAATTCTACAGCTCGGGAATATCTTATTAAATTTTCATTATTTCAAGAACTGTCTTTGTTTTTAATTTAATTTATTTAATGTCGCATCTGCTTGATAGCAATTAGCGACCACTTGTGGGATCATGTTTGTAGGGTTACACGTAGTGTAATATATACAATAGTTTTGCATTACATTTTTACATTATTTTTTTATTCTGGGTCTCTTAGTTTTATTATATAATTTCACTAAACAGTTTGGTTTCTTCTAAGTATGACATAACTTTCGCTATTTGTCAAGAACTTTATATTATATTCATTTTTATTATATTATATTAATATATTATACTATATTAGTATATATTACATTAATTCATATTAGTATATATTATTATAATTTATATTATATTATATTATTATAATTTATATTATATTATATTATTATAATATATATATTATATATATTACTATAATATTATATTTATACTATATTAATTCTTTATTACTCGATCATAGCCTCGCAAATAAGCTCAACGTTAGCCTTCGAAAGACCTCGAGACATCCGGTAGAATTTTGAAGAAGAAAAAAAACATTCCCTCGTGTTTTCAAACGGCGTCACTTTCCGCGGCGACTGTACAACGACGATTGATCAACGATTGTCACGAGAGTGTCTAATTGCTGCGATTAATGAACCGCCGCGGGCAAACGTTTCCGCAGCGGACGACCGGATATTGTCGCTTTTAGTTGCAGCATCGCTTTCGCATGATCCTCAGAGCACCTAACCCGTTTCGGTGTAACTGATTTTTTAATTTTGTATACCCCTTCTTACAGGGCGTGGCCGGGTTGATGGGCAAGAGCGGTTTTCCGGTATATTATTTTTTATTTTCATTCCAGTCCTTTATCTGTCTGTACTGTTGGCTACACTGTTCTCTTATATAAATATCTCTCTCTATATATAAATATACTTTGTTCTCTCACTTTTTTCTCCACACCTCTCTGTTTCGATAAACCATCCACTCGATGTCTGTCTCATTCGTACATAACACCTACTAAATCGTTCTCTCCGTTCGCCGCGCGTACATCGTAGCTCTGTTTTCATTGTTTCAGCTGTTCTCCCTCTCTCCCTCTCTCTCTCTCTCTCTCTCTCTCTCTCTCTCTTTCTTTCTTCACATCCTCCTTTTTTTGCGGTTTTCTCGTTTTTAGTTGATGTTGTTATTGTTGTTGTTGTTTCCGTTTTTCACGACTACTGTATTTTCAGCAACTACGAACTGTGCTTTTTCCGGAATTCTCGGGCAATGCTCTCACCTGTTATACCTGTTCTCTATTACAGACACCCGTGCATTCGCATATACACGCAAATCGTCGAACCGTGGCCTCGAGGTTTTGCTTCCAAATACGTCGGATTGCGTTTGTTAATACTTGACTGGCACAGTGATTTTTAGAACGGCGGCTGCTGTGATTTTCACGAAAGTCGATCGGACGCTGATAGTAATTTCTCCCTAATTCGCGTCCATTTTATTAAAAAAATGCACAAAAATGAAAAATTTGGGAAGAGGAGATTCAATTATTCGAGCTTTGCGTCTCGTTTTTATACTGTTGACAATCGATCACTGTAAGAACGAACAGCAAAGCTCGAATAATTGTAATCTCCTCTTCCCAAATTTTCCATTTTGGTGCGCAATCTGAGCGCGAATTAGGGAAAAATTACTCTATTCACACTTGTAAACTGATGTAACGATTTTCACAACTAATATAATCATTTTAGCATAAACTGCTGCTATAATGATTTTTGCATAAACGTCTAGTAGAACGATTTTCTTGCAAAATCAAACTTTTACGAAATTAACCGGTATAAAATCCTTGCTCTGCTCACGATACATTCCGAATAAAAAGTGCAAGTAATTGTGGTGATCTAATATTGGATAAACCTTCGGATTCATATTTGATTCTTTTCTGATGTACGGAATGATAGAAACGTAGAAAAGGGGACGTGATAAAAAATGTACAGTGTTGGGTGACTCGAATCTCTGTTTACCAGTCAAGGATAAAAAAAGTCTGTAAAATATGTACGAAATATAATGTAAAAACTTCATGTAAAAAAGCTTATTTGCCTCATATTTTAACTCTTTTTTTTCTGTATAAATGAGTATACGTACGATATAGTTTATCGGGAGAATTCCATATTTGGAAGCAGCTCGACATGTACTGTGATTTCCCGATTACACTTTTACCTGTTGCATAGACACACGTTCGACACGAGTGCGTACACATTACGTTCACGTGGAATCATTATTTTCAAAGGCAGTTCACGGCCTTTTCGACTTCTCACTTTCTCTCGCCTCCGTGGACGGCGATCAAGTACGGGGAACTGACTAGTGTCTTTTTTTAGGGACCCATCGGGATGGATGGACCAAAAGGTGCAACGGTGAGTTCACTCGTAGATTATTTCGTGAAAATTTTCGATGGTTGAATATGTACAAATAAATCGGAAATGTAAATGTGTACAGGGTGTCCCGCGAGAAGTCTTCCAGCTGATTTGAAATTCTGATGAACCGACGCTATTTTTACCGAACCAGTGAAAATACAATTTTTGATCTCGCTTTTGTTTAACGCTGTTTTTACGATGAAAGGACGAAAGATTCTTTTCGAAATTTTAATTCGGTACTATTTTTACCGTTGGTGTCGACAGACTATTTTCAATTGTTTTTATTTAACGCTATTTTTACCAAAGGGACAAGGGACAATTTTTTAAATGTTTAAATATGATTTCTAGCGAAAGGTGCAAAAGTGAGCTTTTAATCAGTTTTCATTTAATACTATTTTTACCAAAATAGTTAAAAGACGCCTTCGAACGTTTTAATTCATAATTATTTTTCAAGTCGAATTTTTCTAAGTTTCAACATCGCCTATAATTATTATCAAATCAACGCGTTGAAAATAAGTATTGTATTGTTTGACGCAGGCATAGTTCATTATTTAATTTTCATTTGTTTCTGGAATTTACAAATCCAGAAACAAATGATGATGAATGAAACATCGTCTATTAACGTTATTTTTCAAGACACCCACGGTAACAACCATAATCGCGGATCAAATGCTACCATAGTGCACACAAGAGATCGATAAAAATAGCGTTAAATAAATAAAAGAAAGCCAGTATTTAAAAAGAAATAGCATATAAACTGCCGGAGGTAATAAAAACATGGAGAATTAATCTTTCGCTACAAAATGAAATAGAAATACGATTATTCCCATCATTTACGACCCCTTTATGCCAACTGAAGGTTAAAAATTGACCGACACGGTTCCGCAGCTTAAGAAATTCCGTGATTCACCCTGTTTAACTAATGATTTTGGGTCAGCTCTCTAAAGATCGCACGACCGTGCGAGAACGTTTTCAGAAATATTGTGCTTTAAAGGGTTGAAGTTTCAGGTGCTGTTATAAAGCAGGTATACGAGAGCCACTTGGTGCTAAAGCTTGTGGAATAGCTAGCTTCGTTAATTCGCGTGTAATATTTCGAAATTACAATTTTTTTTTCGCACATCAAGTTAAAATAAACCACACACGGATTCGTTTTGAAGCCATCAAAACACGGACGCTGCTTGGCGAGGTACTCTAGCGTGAACTTTTGAGAAATTCCCATTTTTTGGGGGGGGAGAGGGGATTTATTGCAATCCCATTTTGTATCCGTTTAACGAAGTTTCTTTGAACGTGCGTACATTGAAGTAAGAGAAAGCTTTTCTGCATGAACGCTCGTCATGCGAACGTTCCTTCATTCGAAGGATATTTTATATATACGTATTATACGTTTTATTTATTTTTATTATTTTAGTATTTTATGTGTACACTTCATATGTATACATATAGGTTATATAAACATTTTCTTGTTGTCGGAGATTTTCTGATGTGAACGTTCCTTTAAGCTCTTACAAATACAAGAGAACATATATTATAATAAGAATATATTATGATTAAATTTTATAACAAGAATACATTATAATTAAATTTTATGATAAAAATGCATTATAATTAAACTTTGTAATAAGAATTCATTGTGATTAAATTTCATAATAAAAATGCATTATAATCAAAAATTTCATATGAAAAATCCACTATAATTGAATTTAACAATAAAAATTCATTGTAATTAAATTTTATATTAAAAATTCATTGGAATGAGATTTTTTCTGATGAAAATTCGAGATGCAGAAACAGCGGCAAGCATTCCTTCCGAAAAGATGTCGCAAGACAACAGCGTGTTCCACGTGCGAGCGACCTAATAGTTGTTTGTCATTCGCGGCGTCCGCGACAATCGTTTCGTTTCCTCGCCGACGAGTTTGCCGTCCCTATTGGTTTGCATCGAGCTCCGCGTAATTAATAGCCGTGAGTTATTTCGCCGGCGAGAGAGCAACGGGCGCGCGAGCCGGCACCGTGTAATCCACGTTTAACCCGTTTTCCCTGGAAATCGAAACACACAACGGGCAGGGCAGGGGGGAGGGAAAAAAGAGTGCGCAACTTATTGCTCGCGCCACGGTTTTTGTTTGCGCTCCGGCAACGTTTTATGACGTGCGGCTTGTTTTATGTATCGCGTACGCCCGTTCTCGGCGTCCATTCATGCAACGGAAACGTAAATACCGTGATGCGAAACCGACGGGTTTCGCGTGCTCGCTGTGTTCTACACACACGCGCGCACACAGAGCTTGAAAAACATAGCGATCGGAGCACGGTTGTACGCTCCCGCGGATTAATGGGCAAACAAAGTTGTCAAAATCGTGGCCGCTAATGCGAGCCGCGCGGTTACGTCGCCGGAGATTAGAATTACCGCGATTGCATTTCGATTCTCTCGGCTGCCGTCGCGCGTTCGTGTCCGACGGCGATCGATTAAAATTTCTGATTCGATTAATAGATCGATGTAAACGTAATCGATTCAAATCGATTCCAATTAATCGTTGAAAATCGACGATCGAATTAATCGATTCCGGAACGAAATCGTAAGTCGCTGTTCAAAGGCACCGATCGTTGAAAAATCGACGATTGAATTAATCGATCGGTAAATATAATCGACGCGATCGAAGGCATAAATTAATCGCCGAAAAATCGACGATCGAATTAATCGATTCGTAATGAAATTAATTTTGGAATAAATAATTCAAAGCGACGATAATTGTTGATCTTTGAACGCAATTGGAAGGACGATTATCGTGCAATTCCGTCAAAAATTGTCTTTATCGTGTGTATTACTTCATTTTGTATATTTTTTAAAATTCATACTCGATTAAAAAATAACAGCGATATAATATTTTAACTCCTCCTCATCTCAATATCTTTATTGCGAATATCGGTATCTTGATACGAGATATTCGAAGTATAGTAAATAATATTAGAAATAATAGAAAATATTAGAAATAGTAGAAAACATTAAAAATAGTAGAAAAAATTAAATATAGTAAAAAATATTAAAAATAGTAGAAAATATTGCTAATAATAGAAAACATTGAACTACTAAAATAGCAGAAAATAGAAACAGAAGAAAAACCAACAAAGATAAACAATTTAATTGAAATTTCCCTTAAAATATCACCGAAAATGTAAAAGTTACTTCGAGCATCCTCGTTCGACGAAGAAACGGCTCGTCCGTTCTAACGCGCCATGAACATCCGCGAGCAGGAAAATTCGCGGCCGTCTGGCTCGATCCGCGGCATAAATCGATCGGTCGTAGCCGGCCGCGGCGAAATAAAACTCGATCAAGGAATCGCGGATATGTAGAGGCGCGATACCGCGGAATGGTAGAGACACGAGCAATGTCGTTTCCCGCTATCAGCCATAAATATAATGCCGCGGCGCGGGCTCGCCGTCGCGAGTACGTAGCATTCTGTCGAGAAAATACACAGATTGTCGGTCGGATACACGGAACGCAGAACAGACGGTCATGACCCGCGCCGAATGCATGTACGTCCGCGGAACGTGGCCGCACGGAACGTGTAAATACTTTGCAGCTACACGCCGTTGTAAACGTGTGTTACACGAGCGCGAAACGTTTTCCCTTGCTTTTGCGCGCGCGCATGCGAGCGTAATTCCACGCGATGCTAACCGGGGAAAAAAATGGTATTGCGCTTTCGATTTCGCGAATTGAACCGACGCTTTTATTATTCTGTTACGCGGCTCGGGACCAGACCGATGCAGCACCTCGTGATTTCCAGCCGCGAATCGGAGAAAACGCGCGCGCACGCCGGATACATTTCGGCGTTTCTCTTTCTGCTCGAACATTTCACGAATTCGAAATCGCGACGCTTCGCGGGATCCGCTGATTTCAATCGGCTTGCGGAACTTTATGCGCGGAGATCAATTGCGAGCGCGTTTTATCGTCGATTTTTTGGTCGCGCTTTAACACGTTAGGGGTGTTTCTTGGAATTATCAGTGGCTGGCGACGATCTTGATACTTTGTAGAATCTGCAGAGTTGAATTTGTAAGGAGTCATCTTTTTGTGAAAACTATTTCTCGGTATAGATTTATATGAAATTATATAAAAATATAAAATCTATATAGTTGAAATAGGAGAATTAAACTTATTTACGAATTTATAATAAGTTTATATAATGTAAATTTGAGATTTATTCTGTAATTGCTGTTGCAAGTTATTGAAAAGATTCTGGAACAACTCGAATAATTATATTATATATTATATTATGTTACATAATTATAAATCAATAACTTAGTAAACGATGAATAGTAAATAGATTAAATGAAATAAATTATTTCGTACGCTTTATTGCGTGTATTATTATATTTTGTTCTACTATTAACGTATTTCATTGTACATATTAATGTATTTTATTACGATTATTATTACGATATTGATACGTTTTATTACGTTTATTAATACGTTTTCGAATGATACAATTTCCCAAGAAAAATCGACCAATTATTTCGGCGCATTGCAACATCCGTACAAGCTGTTATTGGTAACTGTTCGTGCGTTTTTCTTGCGGCAATGTACGGAGTGATTCATTACCTACAGAATGCGCCATATTTTTGCTGCCAAGAGCTACTGTAGCTCCACATATTTCAATTTTTATGAAGTGGCGTTCGGTAGTTTCGTACGTAGTACAGCAAGCTTACTTTCCGTTGTCATTTTCGCGTCAAAAAGTTTCTAAATTTAGCGTCATTCTTCATGACCAGTGTATACACAGGGCAATACGAATTTTTATTTGTATTATTTTTATATATATATTATTTTTATTTGTATTATTCTCCTCAATACTGATCTGTAATATTGCATTCAGTTTCTCGGAATTCAACGTTTCGTGTAACACAATTTACGAGAAGATAGTTAATTTTCTCGTTTTGCAACCGACGCATAAACATCTTATTCGACGTAAAAAGACCAGCGATCTGTTAAAATTTCTATCTTATGCACTCGATTCGTGGGATAGAAACGACGTTTTTTTCGATTGCTAAGTCTTCGTTTCTTTCGGAGCCGATCGATTGTTTCAAGTGCACAGGCCGAAGCAACCGTTTCAAGAAACCATAAAATATTAGGTTAATATTATTAGAAGTTTCCGTTGTGACCATTGCGGAATTATGGCTTAAGGTTTTAAGTTTACTGTTCGAGAAACGGTTTGGCGCGCAAAACTGCATCGGTAATTAAAAAGATCGTCAAAAATACGATATCGTAATCTCAAATCATTTCGAATGTACCTCGCAAACTATAATCGACTTTCGCTCGGTTCACACTGATTAATAATCAATGCTAACACGTTTTTAATTAGAACAACGGGAACATTCAATGCGTGCAAAAAACGAGGGTTTCTATTTAAAACATTCAAAGATATCAGAATACATATACGGAAAACGAATTGTTAACAAATGTGGGGAATAAAATATTTGAAAATTTGGGGAAATGGGATATTGACGAGTCTAGAAAAAAAGAGAGCAACAGAAGATTGATAGCAAAGAATATTTGGAAAGTTTGGAAAATCAATTTCCCGCCCCCATGTTAATATCGACTTGGTCCCAGTTCAAACGGCAAAAGGACATCTGTCGAGGACGTCCGGCGGTTCCGAAGTGTGTCTCGCATTTGTTGGTCCATGCCGCGTTATGTTCGCGAGAACTCGCGGAACGTCGTTTCAAGAAAAACAAAGTTTTTGCGCGCCAGTGTAGCGGAGTACGCGAGAGCTGCAACGCTCCGAGATGATTATTTTAAAGCTGCACCGGCGCGGTGCATTTCAGAGATATGTGGAGGCCATTTAGAATCTGCGCCGCGCCACTAGTTTTCCCGAAAATATTACCGCTATACGCAGCCGTGAAAAAAAATGTTGAACTTTATTAAAACAGATACCGGTGTACGGTGTTCTCACCGGCTCTCGTACGTTTCTCAACGATGCCCGCGGAAATGTTTCTCGGACGGTTTTACACTTGTTTCGTCGGCTGTTAATTTCGGTTTGCTTGATGCATACCGTTTAAACGTATAGAATGACTTCGTTCGTGTGCCATGAGTTGCGTTAATTTCACCGAATTAAACGCGCCGTGACGGTAACATAAATTGCGACCGGAATAACTATTATGAAATGCAAATTGCGACGATACATTTATGATAATGATCGGTCGGCCGAATACGAAACAGCTGGAACGTTTAAAGAATTCAGAAATGCTGTCGCACTATTTTCTATATTTATTAAGATGATCGCGAAACGAAATTAATGCTCGCGAGGCTCCTGTATCTCGTAATTGGCGCAAACAATGTTTTTATCTTACATGGAAATTCGCTGTTTAGCAATCACTATTGTATCGTATTATATCAATTTTAATAATGATTGATACGGAGTACATAAATTCTCTTTTATTTCGTCATCGTTCGCTGCAATTGCAAAATTAATAATGCAACGAATAAATTAAAAAAAAAGAAACACTGTTCGAAGACAAATAAAAAATTGAACTCTTCAAAGTTCTAGTCTAGAGTACCTCTAAAAAACTACCACAGATGGCTTCATAATATATTAAGTGTCGAAAATCAACCCCCAAAATGATCACAAAATCGAAAAAACGAAACAGAATCTACAAAATTAAAATTGATCACAACGAATGCATTTCTATATATAAATATAGAATAAAAAAGGTACCGAATTTATGAAAACATAAATAAAAAGTACTCCGAACCGCGATGAAAATATCTTCGGTGGTTCCCAAATAAGATACCATCTGAAATATCGCGTTGAGAAAATTGTTTCAACGAAATATTTGACTTTTTCAAAGCGCAATTCTTCCGAATGAACAAAAACGTTGTTGTATTCTCAAAAATACATGGACGATCGAAATACCATTTCACCGAAGGCTCCGGCAGCAAAACTTGTCCACCGCCTCTCATTTTCGAAAGCCATCAGAATGAGAAAACTCGCCGGCGAAAAGTCGCCGAGGCGATATAAGAGGCGGCGCGCGATCGAGGGACCACCACCCACTTGCGAAAAATAAAATAAAATTCCGCCGGTGTTCGCCGGGCTCCTGTTTCACTTGTAAAATAACGTTTAACTGTTCCCCCGCAGTACGGTGCATAAAAGTTCTATCTTGTTCCGGGGATCTATGAAAGTGCACGCGGCGCGGCGCCCGGATGTTTCCGGCGTTACCGTGCGCGGCGCGCCATTATTTTTCTATCAAACACAACGACGACGTTCCGTTCAATTTCGTTCTCTTTTGCCGTTCCAGGGCCTGAAAGGAGAGAAAGGCCAGAAGGGAGACCTCGGGAGTCCAGGCTTTGACGTTTTTTCCGCAGTAAAGGTATCTAACTACGCTATCTAACGAGACTGATACGGCGCGCGAGAGGAGCGGATTTTTTTTCCCCCGCTGCAGTTTCAGCGTACGTAACAGAAGAACGCATCGTTTTATCGTTTCATTTTATTCAACGATCCGATCCGGGCGCGATGATATTCCGCGCCCACGGCTTCGCTCTGGCCCCCTGCCGTTGTTCGGTCCTTTGTTCGAATCAATTATTCGCGAAAGTAATGCGTCATTTTCCACGGTCACGTGGAAACCGCTAAATTGTCGCTATGTTCGTCTCGGCATCGCGATCATTTTTCTGCCGATTGTTCCGGCGTTCGTGCGAAACAATTTCTTTCGAATTGAAAATATTTCTGTTCGGAGTTGCAGTTATAGTTGTTTCATTTGAAAGAAGTCGTATTTTCAACTGTTTTCTAATATACTGCTAATTGAAATAACGATATTTATATTTGTAGACTGTTCTATATGAAAAGATTTCTCATTTTATTTGTCATTCTATTTTTCATTTTATTCTTCATTTTATTTGTCATTTTATTTCCATTTTATTCTTCATTTTATTTGCCATTTTATTTGTCATTTTATTTTTCATTTTATTCTTCATTTTATTTGTCATTTTATTTCCATTTTATTCTTCATTTTATTTGCCATTTTATTTGTCATTTTATTTTTCATTTTATTCTTCATTTTATTTGTCATTTTATTTCCATTTTATTCTTCATTTTATTTGCCATTTTATTTGTCATTTTATTTTTCATTTTATTCTTCATTTTATTTGTCATTTTATTTCCATTTTATTCTTCATTTTATTTGCCATTTTATTTGTCATTTTATTTTTCATTTTATTCTTCATTTTATTTGTCATTTTATTTCCATTTTATTCTTCATTTTATTTGCCATTTTATTTGTCATTTTATTTTTCATTTTATTCTTCATTTTATTTGTCATTTTATTTCCATTTTATTCTTCATTTTATTTGCCATTTTATTTGTCATTTTATTTTTCATTTTATTCTTCATTTTATTTGTCATTTTATTTCCATTTTATTCTTCATTTTATTTGCCATTTTATTTGTCATTTTATTTTTCATTTTATTCTTCATTTTATTTGTCATTTTATTTCCATTTTATTCTTCATTTTATTTGCCATTTTATTTGTCATTTTATTTTTCATTTTATTCTTCATTTTATTTGTCATTTTATTTCCATTTTATTCTTCATTTTATTTGCCATTTTATTTGTCATTTTATTTTTCATTTTATTCTTCATTTTATTTGTCATTTTATTTGCCATTTTGTTTGTTATTTCATTCGTCATTTTGTTTTCCATTTCATTTTTCGTTTGAATTCTGACCAAATCAAATTGTTTCCCAAATCAAGTTTTAAATATTTTTCTGCAGACTCGCGCAGTCAGTTTATATGTATGTTCACGGGAATTGTGTCAGGTTTATTTGAACGCACGAGTTATATGTTTCTAGTTAGTTTCGTTATTCGCAATTTGTCTGGCATCGTTTTTTATATTTTATTTGATCGAACAACTCTTCGAATAATTAAGGAGCGATTGTCTGTTGGCTTCTTTGAGATACTTCATTGTTACGAATTATTATTGTTACGAATTATTTGAAATAATATTTGTCGAATCCCGGTTCAAGCACAGAAAATGGCTGCGAAAAGGAGCGTCGCGAAAACGGTGGATAAAACGATGCGTTTAATGAATAAAAAAAACAACTATTCATGTCCCAAGCTCTTTTCTATAAATATATGTATATTGTACGTACACTATCGAAACGTGTTTCGAACGAAAAATATCGACGCGGTTTGTCCAATTATTTGAATTACGTCGAATCGAAAATAGTTTCATAAATCCCGTAATAGGAAACACTATTGCTATTATATATCAAAAAATTAAACAACGCATGGTTATAGTCGGTGAAACGTGTTCTAGATAAAATCGATTGCGAATGATTGACTTAAGTATACCGTGGAAATATTAGATTGCGAGATCGAGGTCGAGAAGTATTAATTTCAGACGATCGTGAGATTAAAAAGTATCAATTGTCGGATGATCGAAATTGAAATTGTCAATTATCAGATGATCGGAATTGAAATTGTCAATTATCAGATAATCGGAATTGAAATTGTCAATTATCAGATGATCGAAATTGAAATTGTCAATTATCAGATGATCGAAATTGAAATTGTCAATTATCAGATGATCGAAATTGAAATTGTCAATTATCAGATGATCGAAATTAACGATATCGAATGATCAAAATTTAAATATTCGATCTCAGACGATCAAAATACAAATTGTCAATTCCAAATGAACGAAATTGACGATTTCAACTAATTAAAACTTTATTATCGATCCCAAATGATCAAATCTTTAAACCGTCGCCTACAAATAATGGAAATCAAAATATTCGATTTCAAACGATCGACATTAATACGTTCGACTTCGCATACAACAATCGAATAGACAATTTTTCGATCGTAATCACGTTTCGACGCAGCTCGAATTAAGTGAACGTACTAGCCAGATATTTTTTGAATAAACATTTACTCGATGATTACCGATGTTTCTCGTTAGCTCGTGAAACGATCGAGAACAATGGCTTCGCTCTTGGCGACAACGAACCAGATCTCTGTCATTATGCTCGACTAGAGCATTTTATCGGCGTTATGCTAATCCGCCTATCGCCAACGAATATTATACACATACATAGTACGTGTTCGTAAGAAGCCGAAGTCACGTTCTCGATCTTGAACACCGAACAATGCCTCGCATTGAACTGTACCGACGATTTGCTACGTGGCGATTAAGAAGATTTTGTCTCCGAGCAACAAACGCTCGGAGAAAGTACGCCGGCTTTACGGTGACAACGGCTGCGGATGCACAAATTATTATGGTCGTGCTCGAATTATAATGGTTAGGCGGAAATTGTAATGGTCAGGCTCCAGTCGCAACGATTATGATTGTTCGCCGGTTTGGATAAATCTCTCGCTCTTCTTTTTTTATGCAACATGTACCATACTCCTCTTTGTTGTGATATAAATAATATGAGGAATTCATTGTAATATAAATAATGTAAATAATAATGTTATTAAACGGTATCATACGATGCAGCAAAATATTTTATGCTGCAACAAAATATATTATGCGAAACATTTTGTATTACAACCAAATATTTTGTGTTAAAAAAGCGTATCTTACGTTGCAATAAAATATTTTGTATTACAACAAAATATATTATGTCACAAGAAAATATTTTGTCTTATAAAAGAGTATATTATATTACAACGAAGCATTTTGTATTACAACAAAATATTTTGCGTTAAAAAAGGGTATCTTACGTTGCAATAAAATATTTTGTATCACAATAAAATATATTATGTCGCAAGAAAATATTTTGTGTTATAAAAAAGTATCTTACGTTACAACAAAATATTCTGTATTACAACAAAGTATATTATGTCACGACAAAATATTTTGCGTTATCTTATGTTGCAATAAAATATTTTGCATTACAACGGAACATATTATGTTGCAATAAAATATTTTCTCTTACAAGAACCTCTATCATGTCGCGAAAGAGTATCTTATGTTCCAACAAAGTATTTTGTATTTCAACGAACTATATTATTTTTCAACGAAATATTTCGTCTTCCAAGAAGTCACTGTAAAAATATATATCTCCGAAATTACTCGATTCGCGCAGGTTCCCACAAGAAAGCATTAACGTCCGCAGTTCCCCGATAATTTGTGCAAGCAGCCGCAGTCGCAGACATTGTTTCGTCGGCCAGGTAGAATAGATTCGCCACTGTATCAAACGTCAGTGGTTAGCAACGTTGATCCCTCCACTGAAGGAGGGATCAGCGTAGTCGTACGGATTCTTGATAGCCACGATGCGCAAGGTTTAATATAATGTTTTGTTTCTCTCTCTCTCTCTCTCTTTCTCTTTCTCTTTCTCTCGACGACGTATCGATCCTCGACGATGCAGATTAACAATATAAATCATCTTTTCGCCTACGGGTCAATGCACAGGGATTAGGGTTAAAGAGGTCGGTGACGACACTCCGCGGCGGGACGCTCGGCTATGCGGAAATCGTCGCCCTGAAGGTAACCGGCCTCTTCCGAAGGCAACACGGCTTGTGTTGTAGCTCAGAAAAAAATCTGTCCTCGTCGTCGTTGCTCCCGCTATCTTCTCCCCCGTTCCACCGTCCTCCCTCTACACACACCGTCTTCTTCCTGTTCCTCGTCGTGTCCGTCCTACGGGCCCCACTTCGGTCCCCGTTCGCTCCCACTCCACCTTCTCTCGCTCTCTTTCTCTGTGTGATCCACTCGCGAAACCAGTAGCCTCCTCGGCAGACCATATTTTGTTTTCCCGTTTGTACCAGGGCTTGAGACGCTGCCGAAAATAACTGTTTCGTAGCGTAACGTAATGGTTTCCGGCTGGAGAATAGTCGCGGAGAACTGTTATTCCGGATAACTCTAACGAAGAGCCTGACAAGAATCTGAAAAAGTTGCTCAGAATATTGATCTTAAGTATGTGTTCGAAACGGTTCGTCTGTGGAAGCAGATTTTATAGACGTCTGGTTACTTAATGCGACTAAATGTGCAGGAATATAGACGAAAACGTGTCACGAAATGTATGGTTTATATCAGGGCTCGGAATTAACCTGCACGCAACGCGAGCATCGCGAAGGAACGCCTCCTGAGGCGTGTTCTGAATGCTGCGTGCCCGTTAATTCAGAGCCCTGATATAGGTTGACTGATTTTCGAGCTTTTCGTTGCTGTTGTTTAGAACACAAGTTCCTCAATTGTTCGTTGTAACTGTTCATTGTAACTTATTCAGAGTAAAAGGTCTTCGGTAACTGCTATTCGGAATAAAAGTTCTTCGGTAACTGCTATTCGGAATTAAAGTTCTTCGGTAACTATCATTCAGAAAAAAAGTTCTTCCGTAACTGTTATTCAGAATAAAAGTTCTTCAGTAATTGTTATTCAGAATAAAAGTTCTTCATAACAGTTATTCAGAATAAAAGTTCTTCCGTAACTGTTATTCAGAATAAAAGTTCTTCGATAACTTATATTATTACTCATTATTACTCTATTAATATTACTCAGACTAAAAGTTCTTCAGTAACTGTTATTCAGAATAAAAGTTCTTCAATAACTATCACTTAGAATAAAAGTTCTTCAGTAACTGTTATTCAGAATGAAAGTTCTTCGATGACTATTACTCAGAATAAAAGTTCTTCGATAACTATTACTCAGAATAAAAGTTCTTCAATAACTATCACTTAGAATAAAAGTTCTTCAGTAACTGTTATTCAGAATGAAAGTTCTTCGATGACTATTACTCAGAATAAAAGTTCTTCATAACAGTTATTCAGAATAAAGGTTCTTCACGACAGTTATTCAGAATAAAAGTTCTTCGGTATCTGTTATTCAGAACAAAAGTTCTTCGAAAGTTCCTCGCAACAGTTATACAGAAGAAAAGTTCCACCGTCTTGATCCCTGGCACGAACACACGTCCCTCCCACGACCGTCGAAGTACATTTACTATTCCTAGACGCAAATCCTGTTTCTAGTCGTTGGCTCGTACATACGGTGCTTTCGGTGTAACGTTCTCGTTCGTTCAAAAGTGCGGCGACGCTCTGCTTCTACGAAAAACGCTTCGTTACGCGCTCGAACTGTGTCGCAGCCGGTGTGCCAATAGACGTTCCCGGCGGGTGGAGAAGTTGTTCGAATTCTCTGCCGAGAGTTCTCAGCAGAAGAGCAACAATTTTAATGGTTCGATGCGTTTTTTACTGAGATCATGCATGGGATTGAAGATTTTGGAGGAAAAGAAACACGAATTCGAGAGACACGTTGATATCATCCGATTGTTAATGTTGCGATGGCTTACTTGTTAATGTCTTGTTGACGTTTGTAGTATTTCTATGTTGAATGAAACGTTAATGATCTTTTTATGTCATGTACAAAAAAAACTATGAACTTCAGAACTTGTGCAGAAATTAAACTTTTATTTTATATTTGTGTATGAATTTAATTTTTAGTATAAATCTAGGTAGAAATTTAATTTTCATTATATATTTTGTGTATAAGTTGGGCGGTGTGTATAAGGTGTATAAATTTAGTTTTTAGTATAAATTTGAGTATAAAAAGAATTCAATTCTTATTTTCTGCACAGATCTCATTTTTATCAGAAACTCAGCTGAATCGTATAAAAACCAAAGTGTGCCAAATGTCTGATAAATACGAAAAATTACGCAACGTGGCTCTCGCTGGTACCTAAAGGGTCGAAGGTCCTGAAACACAGATTGAACAACGCTGGCAGGACAGGACATAGACGAACAACTTTTCCGCCATGCCCGTAGCCGTGGCTGAAATCCCATGCTCTGCATCACGGAGCGACTCTGTGTTTCCGATTCGAAGTTGTTAATCGTCGCACTTTGTTTATCCTTGGTTTTTGGTTGGTAATGGTACTTTTACTTTAAGTTACAGTATTTAGGTATATCTCTGGGCATGCATTGGATTCGGAAGAGCAATGAGAAACGAGAGAGATAACCCCGTGAAAGATTGTGTCCGTTTTCATTTTAGGTTCTCCCAGTAAAACGCCTAGTACACCCCGCCGAGCCCCCCACCCCCTGCCCCACTTTTTTTTCAATTTGTTCACCCTATGTTGTCACGTCTGGTAGCGATTTTGGTTTTTTACCCGTAGTGTTGACCTACTTCTAGGTACTTCAGGAGCAAGGGCATAATATCTCAGCGGAGACCATCATACAACTGAAAGTAAGTGCTCCTGCTCTTTGGGAGCCCCCCCTCGCCCCCCTATCCTCTCCACCTTCTCCTTTCCTCCTCATCGATTCCGCAAGCGTGTTCGATTCGAGAATTCTCTTTCGACGAGGAGACACGTTCGCCGAATCAAATACTGTTCGCGCGAAAACCGCGTCGCAAACCGAAATCGTCGTCGACGACGATTTCGACGGGACGAAATTCATTCGCGATCGATTCGCTGGTATTAACCATAGAGGCCGAGTCCTCGATCTCGGGTCCCATTTCGCAGACGTTCGCAGAGATTTTATGCATTTATGATGAAAATAGAGTACGGCTTTAATTTTTATTACCGTCCAGTTTATTCGTTTTTATTACAGACCAGTTCTGTTCGTTTTTATTACCGACTGGTTTATTCATTTTTTTTATTACCGTATAGTTTATTCATTTTTATTGCAGTCTAGTTTATTCATTTTTATTACCGATCGGTTTATTAATTTTTTAATTAACTCCTGCGCACTATCAGTCCATTTGTGATGAATCATTAAGGAGAGAAAGATCGGACGATTTTTGCATAAAAATCTGCAGTCTGCAACCATAATCTGGCGTTGATTAGGGTGTCACAGGTTCCAAAGATTGTTACTCTAATTTTTGATCATGGAACAATGTTTGATTGTGAATTTTATTTCTAGATTTTTAATGGACGTTCAATTTGAAATTTTTGATTGTAATAGATTTCTGACAGAAAATAGAAATTTCACATTGTAATAGATTTTTGACACAGAAGTGTAAAAAGAAATTTTAAATTATAATAGATTTTTTTATATATAGATGTTTAAAAAGGAATTTTAAATTATAATAGATTTTTAATAGAGAACAAAAATGTTAAATTGTAATAGATTTCTAATAGAAAATAGAAATTTTTAATTGTAATAGATTTTTAATAGAAGTTTGAAAAGAACTTTCAAATTATAACAAGTTTTTTTATAGACGTTTAAATAGAGATTTTTAATTCTAGCAGATTTTTAAGAAAAGTTTAAGTAGAATTTAAACAAAAATTTAAATAGAATTTTTAATATTGATTAAAGTCATTTCTACTCTACAATTTGAATCGCTTATCTCTCCCCATTGTCACTGTTTGATTCGCACACCTAATTAGCGCCAGATTAAGTCTCTGTTTCGGGAAATTTGTTGCGACATCGAAAATGATACGTTCGAGTATCGCCATGTCTGCTTGCCGAATCGAAGGGCGCGTACGTGGAAGAAGCTTTCGATGATTTTCGAGCGAAGCGGAAATCGAGAGGCCCGCCTACGTACGCACCCCGAAGATCTATACTTCTCCAGCACCCTCTTGTTTTACGATTTTTAGTATTTTTCACGTATCGTTTCACTCTTCTCTACCTGCCTCTTCAGGGCCGTGCCGCGAGCTTTGAAACTTTTCTATTTAAAAGGGCGATCTTCCCCTTCGTTTCAAGATCGATGGTGTCAATTCAGGAACGGAGGAATGAGCTTTCTGTTACCTGCTGCCGGTAACGAGCACCGAGGAACAATAAAGTGTTAATTGCCAATGAGAGTTCGCATTTTTCAACGAGATTTGAGGAAGAATCATATTTAAATAATTGGTAAAGCTTTAGAGACGATTTTATTGATTTTTATTTGGTAAATTTTTCCAATATATAACCTCAAGGTTTTTGCGAAAGAAATGCTATTTTTTACGAATATTTCCCTTTAAAGTTATCGTTTTTAAGTTTTCCGTAATTGTCTCGATTTCTTGACGTTTCTGAATTTCTTTTTATTTTGAAGATGCTTCTGATCATTTCTGAATTATTATCTTGTGGTAACATTGAATACCACGAATGAATTTACGCGAATTTCTACGAATTTATGCGAATTTCTCCAAATTTATGAGAATTTATGTGAATTTATTCTGATATTTATGACAATGTGAGTCAGTGTTGATTTCGAGATAAAAGCAAGAATTGCGATTATTCTGTTCATTATGTCTTCCAGAGCGGTAGATAGATGTCGGTAGACATCTTCTTTTGGTTCTGTATGATAGCAAAATGATGCGTTGATTGCATCCAGAGCTGCGAGATCAATTAGATCTAGACGTGAAACTTTTTTCGAAATCTCAAATTTTCAAATGCTTACATTTCGATTACTATCGCGTTACAATTGCTATTATTACGAATCATTGCGAAATAACATCTAAAGCATAACTACCCGATAATTATAAACGGATGTGTTCAAGGGAACTGCACGGCCCTGTCTTTTCTGCATGATCACTTCCAAACAGCTCGAGCGACTACATCCGAACCTGTGTGAACGAATGTATACGCATGCAACTGCTTTTACATTACCGCTGAAAAGTATTTGATCGTTTACAGTATTCACAATTTGCAGTAGAAAGTCGAATGAAAGGCTTGATTCAGTAAAAGATGTATCGTATTTTGTCGTGGACAATTTTTTCCCAAGATTTTATCGGAACTATCAGTGGGAAAATTGAGAAAATTGTAAAAATTGAAAAATGGAAAAGTTGACAAATGGAAATATTGATAAATGGAAAAATTGATAAATGGAAAACTTGATAAATGTATAAATTATAAAACTTGATAATTGATAAATGTATAAATTGTAAAACTTGATAATTGATAAATGTAGAAATTGTAAAACTTGATAATTGATAAATGTAGAAATTGTAAAACTTGATAATTGATAAATGTATAAATTGTAAAACTTGATAATTGATAAATGTAGAAATGGTAAAACTTGATAATTGATAAATGTAGAAATTGTAAAAATTGATAAATCTAGAAATTGTAAAAATTGATAAACGTAAAAATTGGTAAATGTAACAGTTGATAAATGTAGAAATTGTAAGAATTGATTAATGTAGAAATTGTAAAGTCAAAATTGCCACAGTCAATTTCTCCAGTTATCTATCAAAAATAATTTCCTGCAAGGGCTCATTAATTCCCCGGATATTCTCGGCGTCGTTCTTAGAAAGATCGTTCGCTAGGATCGCTTTTAAAATTTCCTTAAAAGCGTTTCCATGTTAATAATGTCCTTTTCGTACTTATACCAAAGTCGACATTTTTATGGATCCATAAAGAAAAATTTTCGAGGGATTCTTTACGGTTAAAATCTTCTCGTAAACGTACTTCTGTGAAATCGATTTCGCAGCATCCGCCATTAGTATCCGGATACTTTCGAGAATATAATGATCTTTTCGTGCAACGTGAAAATTATTGAAATTATTAGACCGCGAATTTTTATGCAAAACAAAGATTGCCTGCATCTGTTGCACAAGCGGTGGAAACCAAATACTTATTTAAATGAAGCTGATGGTTAAAACTTGGAAACGTGGTGTCCGATAACAGCTGCTTGCAAAACTAATTCTTAAATGTTGTGACAGACGAATTAAAGCAATGGCAATTAACAAAAACCAATTCTTAAATATTCTGACAGAAAAAAAAACATATTCTGACAGAACAATCCTTTAAAATCTAAAATATTCAGCTTTCATTTGACTTCGCAATACAACCGAATAATAAACAATCGAGAAACAGATCAAATACTTTCGAACGGCAGTGTATTATATTTTGCACGATGTGTTTTGATGACTCTGTTGCGTCTACGAATATAATTCCTAGAATATATTGTAGCTCTCGACGTGTAGAGTTGTTCGAAATGTTTAAAAATAGGAGAATGTGCAGGCTTGCGTAAAACTTTCGTATAAATATGTATTTGCATGGTGCGTGCAGGTGCGTAGAGAGATCGCACAAATGTGCGCTCGTTACCAACACACACACACACACACACACACACACACACACACACACACACACACACACACACACACACACACACACACACACACACACACACACACACAAACACACACATTTTCGCAGCAACAATAATGTCACTCGCCCGTGAAATTGCGCGATTGATGTAATAACAGCTTATACCGCCAATCAAATTACCGTTCACGTATACTAATTACGTGCCGGCTCTGCTCGACACGTCATCCACCGTGCTCGAACTTTGAAAAATTGTTGGAGACATTGTTCAACGATGCTGTCGACGATATGGACGACCGAAGCAATTTTTTGGTAACAATTAAACAATTGAACAACGTTATTTTTAAACACTTATTTTTAAACTATTTCGACACGATGCACAACGAGTAATTAACGATTTAAATTAGCTGCCGAAAAGTGATCGAAGTTGAAAAATAATTTTCGATTGAATATGTAACGTTATTAAAATGTGTGAGATTATTAAAATGTTGAAAGATACTAAAAAACGGTGTTAAATAAAAACGACTAAAAGATGTCTCTCGACTCCTTTGGTCAAAGTAAATATATCTGTTATTCTAGAATAAAAATGTTAAAAGGTCTCTGTGGCTTCATTTCGGTGGTGAGAACAGCGCCGGATAAAAGTTATTGAACGGCGGCTTTTGACCCGTTTGCTAAAAATAGTGTTGAATAAAAATGTTCGAATATGTCTTTTGTCCCCTTTGGTGGAAATAGCGTGAAAGAAAGGACACGGTGACAAGAACGATACAGTAGCTTCGAGTCCGCAATTCCATTGAAACTTCCGAACAGCGGTATATTTCGTTATACTGTTTGAAAATATCCCATTGTGGGGGTCAGATGCTCAATACTTTTCGAGATATTCGTGATTGGAGTTTCAATGCTGCTTGAGCCTGCAGTTCAGTTGAAGTAGGGGCGAAGTACTTGCACCGGCGTGAATGTAATATGGTGAACTAGTGCAGCGATTGTCAGAGTCGGAGTTCCTTCTATTCTCTAACTCTTTCTCCACTTATTCGAAAGAAAGATCTTCGAAACGTATATATACTGAGCGATGACAGATGAAAACAACTTTAAAAAAATATATCATTCGACGCAACGCAATCATTTGCTGAAATAATTGACGTAACTAAAAAATCACAACATCAGTGCAAAGAAGCTTCGATGTTTCAAATTAATATAACAAAAATTATAGACAAAATATAAAAAAATATAGGCTGTGTTCTCAATTTAATTAGTATGAGAAAATTAATAATTAATATATAATTAGTATGAGATTTTAATATTTATTCATTTCCGAAATATTTTAATGTCGACTGCAACGTGCAAGTGAAAAATATAAACGAATAAGTAATGTTGTCTACAGCTAAATGTACATCTGCAATTTTTTAACATCGATGCTCGGTAAAAATGAATAAATATTTCGTACAACCAGGCTATCGTTCGCGAGATTGATTCGTTTAATGCCAAGAATTTTTGATCGCAGTAAGTTCGAAAAATAAAAAGTTCGGAAGATAATCTGAATTTATTGGCAATTGAGTTGCTTGTCACAATTAGCGGCCGCCAATTACTTGGACATGATACCGATTAAACGACGAAACTATATTTACCGATTTTCTATAAACTGCCTTGTAAGAAGCTTCTAACTTCCTGGAATAGCCAGGAATTTTCGAGACAGCGGCGGAACGATCAAACTCCGGCAAGTAGGTTCGCCCTTAAAAAGTTTCGGAAATTAAAAGGAGAACTTCTCAACTAAAGTCATTCGCTCGAAATGATTTTCACTTGTTTCGAGACCCGTACCAATTTAATATCTACTGAAGAGATCGCTTTATGTAATCGAAGTTCTTCTCGTTTCGATTATTTCGAAACTACAATACAACGCGAAGCCATAATTAATCCGAGCAGCGACGAACCATTTATTTCACTTTACAACTCAATCTTGAATTATCTTTTGAATCATATTTTAAATTATATTTTGAATATCTCGAATTATATCTTTAATTATATTTTGAATTATATTTTCAATTATATTTTCAATTATATCTTTAATTATATTTTCAATTATATTTTAAATTTTATTTTAAATTATATTATTCTCGCTCATGGTCGCTACATTAGTTTCATATCGATACTGTCTCTACTCGAAAATATGACATTTGACCTTACAATCAATTATGAAGTACTTTTAGTTTAAATAACTGTTAAAAGGAACATAATTTGTTTGCTAGGAAAAGAATTAATGGACATTAGAAACGGAGCACAGATAAAAATGATTGATAAAAATTAATCAGTTCTTTAAAACAAATAATCGTATAAAATGAAATAAAATCTACAGTCTATGCACGATACAAGTTAAAGTCACATAAATAAAATGCACAGTTCTATTAAAAACACTAAATGGCACAAAAGCTGTGCGAAAAAAATTCTCTTTCATCATGAACAAAATTACAGACTACCAAAAACAAGATAGTTTAAAATCGTTTAAATCATAACGTGCACAAACGAATAATCTTTCAACAATACAAAAGAGCAATTATATAAAACACATACGTATAGTCTTCGCGCGACAAGGAGGCACTTTTGCGTTCAGATTCCCCCTCTTACTAGCTGCCCCACTGCCGCAGCTACACGTTTTCGTCCAATAGCGGCCGACAGCTGCTGCAGTGGGGCGGCTAAGAGGGGGAACGCGAACGCGAAGGTGCCTTCTTGCCGTGCGAGGACTATAATTGACCAACGAACGACAGGAACGAAATATTCGTATCCACAAAGAAGGGTTGAAATACAGCACATCTCCAAAAGAATCACAAAGGGTGCGGATCGCACGTTATTTTCCTCGATCAAACACACGATTTCTTGCCGAACTGTTATCAAGGTATGAGATCTCGCTTCCACGCATAACTCTCTCCGCGTGCTTTCTCTTCAGCCACTGTCCGCAATTTTCTTCCACCTGTTCACACCATTTCTGTCTGGAGTCCGCCTAATCTCCTCCTCTCTTTCGTCTCTCTCTCTCTCTCTCATCTCTATTCTCTGTTCTGACTGCCTCTCTTTTCTCTCTGTTCACACCATCGGGAACTTTTTCTCCGCTGCTCCTTTCCCGTTCACCTTTTCCCATTTATGACACAAACCGACGAGTACCGAGAGACACTCTTGTCGAGGGCTCTCGCCGGAAGAAAGCGGTAACGACGTAACACTCTTGGAACGTAACAGGGAGAACCAGGAGAACCTGGGCCGCCGGGGCCACCCGGTCCTCAGGGAGCCGAAGGGCTTCCTGGACACGAAGGCAGACAGGGCTCTCCGGGCAACGACGGACCGCCGGGTGAAAAAGGACCGCCAGGACCACCTGGACCGATCGGTCCGTCGGGAATTGTCGGTGTCGCGGGTCCCAAGGTAATTAGACGATAAATAATCTATCCTGTAACAACGTTGTTCGCACCTCGCACCGCGAGCTACGAACACGGCCTGCGATTTACAGCGGACTTTAATTTGTTTGGAGGATGGAACCTGCGACGATTGTTACACTATTTTCATCGAGATTCCTCTGTTACATCGTTCGAGTGACAAATTTATTCGAATAAAATTTCGTCGGCTCGATGTACGGTAATGTCTCTCTAATTGACGCACAGATTGTCCACAAAAATGGACAATTTAGGGAGAGGGGAGACGATTATTCGATCCTTGCGGTTCATTTTTATAGTCACGAATTGTCAACAACTATAAAAACGCTCGAATAATGGTATCTCCTCTTCCCAAATTGTCCGTTTTTCTGGACAATCTGAGCGTCAGTTAGGGAGACATTACTGTATTTGAAAAGTCATCCGAATCAAATTCTATTGAAAAATAAAATGATATTGAAAGGAACATTTGTACAGAATTAAATGTAAAAAATTCAGGATAAATTAGAAAATGAGAAAAGAATGTATTCGAATGATATTTTATTCGAAGAATTTATTCGAATAAAAAATTGTATTCGTGGAATGGTTTTCTTTTCAGTGTTTGTTCATGCAATCTGCTATCGAACGGTGTAACGCTCGTCGGGAAAAGCTGTAATTAGGTCGCCTTGTTCTCACTGTTAGGCGGTTCTTCGAATTTCCACGAGGCCGTTCTCAGCGCTGCGGCAGACTGCGCTATTTGTTAATTGAGATTACATGATTCGCAGGGCGACAAGGGCGATAAGGGTGAACGAGGCTTAACAACATCCGTGAACGGAGAAGCATTTGCAACTGGAGTGTTCGAAGGACCGCCCGGTCCACCCGGACCACCTGGTAAGCAGACGTAGGCGGTGCTATTTCCATATTTTCGAAATAATTGATAATGCCACTCGTGGACCATCGGAGTCGTACGAAACGATCGCGCTGTTCTTCGCGAACCGAATCTGTAAATTACCTCGCACTTAACTGCGCATGAAAACTGAAGCCTAATTACGTTTCGGTTCGGTTCACATTCGTAGCATAAGTAGATTTATGAATTATGAGGAAATAAGTACGCGAAGAAAATTCCAGAACAATTTCTAACATTTGACGCTGAAGATTTCAAAAAAATACTGTGAAGTCGTAGAATTGAAAAATTTAAGCTAAAACGAGCAAAGAAATTCGTAAATTACAGAAGAATATATATCAACAAAAATGAATGATATTATTATCTTATTTTGGCTGCAGGAAAAATTCGAAAAACGAAATGAAAAAGTTCTAGAAGAAGTAAGCCGATGAATTTATAAATTAGCTTTATTTTTAACTAAAAAAGAAAGAAAACAGAATCCGAGAAATGCTGAAAATCATAAAGATAGCACAAGTTCGAGAAAGAAAAGCTCGCGAAAGATCGCGAAGTCAAGAGAGAATATTTCTCTGTAACTGTAAATCTCAGCGAACCGTGATTTTTGTAACACGAGCACTAAACAATATTTAGCGGACGTGAATGGTGTACTTACAAACGGGTTTTCCACTGCTTTCCTACCGTCTTACGACATCTTCGACGTTCTCATGCCATAAGCTTTCTTGATCGACCTGATTCTGATCTTCTTATCGTGCTACATAAATCTCTTCTACCATCTTCTTCTTCTTCTTCTTCTTCTTCTTCTTCTTCTTCTTCTCGCCATTTCCTACCGCCGAAGAGAACCGACACTCGCGTCAGCGTTTCATCAATTTTTGAAATACCTTGCCCACCGATTATGCAAGAAAACTTTCGTGCTCGCAATTAAGGTTGCAAATGCGCTGCCGCCTTCCACGTTACGAGATTGCCTCGTGTTTCTTCGAACGTTTCTACCTTCGTTAGACGGGGCAATAAATAATATATACGGCTTTTTATGGAAAATAGAAATATTCCAAGACGATCGCGAGAAGCAGAAGTTAAATAGAAATGAATTGTTTCCATTAATTATTTTGACAGATTGAAAATCGTGCGACGATATTATGAAGTCTTTTGATCCTTTCAATAATTTGATAATGTTGAAATTATTTTGAAACGTGATATAACAATTTTTAACGGTGTCGAATAATGTTGAAAGTATTTTGAAACGTGATATAATAATTTTTAACGGTGTCAAATAATGTCAAAATTATTGTGAAATGTGATATAACAATTTTTAACGGTGCTCGAATTTTTTTCGCCGCTCGACTGCAAAGGGTTAAATTAAATTATGGCAACTTCGTCATTTATTCTACTTGTCTTTTTAACGTTTTGCCATTTATGGATCACATTTTAAGACACAAGTAAACATTTTCGAAAGTGTCGCTATGATTCTAATCCGCTCGAATAACTTTCGACTCCCTTTCTCAAGCAAAGATAGCGTTTTCCATAAAAACTTCGACTAATCCGTTCGAATGAATATCGAAAAGGAATGCTGGCGGATATTTCGCTGTTTAGCGCGCACGTAGAGTGCACGGTATATCAAACTAACGAACTCGGTGTGCATCTTCCGTCACGGTTCGCCGCCTTTGAAAGCGCGATAGACCTATCGCTCTCGGTATTCAGTGCTCCCCACAATCGACAATCTGTCGCCAATGCGTACGAACCCAAAAAAATGGGTCACACGTCGATAAAAACTTGGACTTTCAAATTTCGCGATACCGTTCTGTCGAGGTCTTGCCACTAAATTGCTTTTGTAATAAGCAGACAGCGGATTTTATGAATTTAAGACAGACGTGGGTGGTTGAAATGTACAAAAAATAGTAAGGAGATTGGAATAATTTACTGACACCGTTGAATAGTATATTGGATTTAATTATTCGGAGTAGAAATCGATTTCATGAGAATGCAGAGAAATCGTAAAAATGTTCGGAAAAATTCAATTGTTCCGTTATTTGCAGCTTATTTTAATTAGCAAAAGATTTAATTTATTCTTACAATGAAGTTCCAACATTTTTATTTTGAATATAATATCAATTTGAATTTCTATTAAGAATCAATTAATTTAACCTTCTATTTGAAATCAATCAATTTAAATTTCGATTAAAAATCAATGAATTTGAATTTCTATTAAAAAGCAATCAATTTAAATGTCTATTAAATTACAATTTATTGCAATTTATTACAATTTAAATTTTTACTCAAGATCCAGAGATTCGCAATTAACTGTAAATTTAATAAGAAATTAATAATTATTACTGAGAACTCTGAAACGGAGTGCATTTCGTTTGCTTTGAACACTGTGATAACTTTAAACAGAGAGAGAGTTTCACGCAACGTTGAACTATTTTCAGCAGTTCATAATTCATGACTAGCCTTTTCTGCAAAATTACGGTAGAGTTTTAAAACGAGCGACAACGAGCAGTCGATCTTTCTTTCTATTAGAATAAAAACGAATTCCAATTTTCTAGCTACGAATTCGATTCCACGAAATGATGGTGTTCTCCGATTATTACGATTACACGCGCGCATACATATATTTTCCCGTTTGTTTAATGCTTCACGTTTTTAAACTTCGCGGCAGTTAATTGGTCCGGAGAAATGTCAAGAATTGTTTCTTCGATGATTCGTTCCGTGTTCTTTCGGAGATAATTCGCGGAGCCGGGGAAAGTTTTTCAGTTCGAGCTGAAAAGCCTGAGCACTCTATAAGAAATTCTGACGGAGTCTAAGTTTAATTAAAACTCGCTCTGCCAAGCTCGGATAATACTGTTTCCGCTGGACGCAGATAGAAAACGGAGGACATAGTTGAAGGCTTACTTAGCATTGCGTTTCATTTGGCTTTATTCGTCCGTCGAAGTTATTCTAAACAATGGACTCGGCAGAGATTCCGTGCGACTGACGAGCTCCCGAGCTCGACGCATTCAAACAGTAATTAATTGTGCGACAGAACGAAGTACGAAATGATTCTTGCATAATTATACAACATCATTCTTTTACACTATACTGTTCTAGAGCGTTATACTGCAAGATGTCACGTGCCATTCATTTTTGGGCACACGTGTGATTTATTTCTATTATTTGATTATTCGCATTTTTGGTTCACGTTCCAGTCTTTCAAATATGGTATACAAATTTTGGAGTATTAATATTCGCTTTTCAGGCTCCAATTTCATTCTTTTAAGCAGTTACACTGCGGATTTCTATGCAAAATAAGGACCTTATGTATCAATATGCAGAGCAAATGAGCAAGTATCATTTTATTTGTTTCTATAACAATTTTGATAAATTCATAATTAGTACACCAACATTCCCAGTTTTTTTTATCTGTTCACTCAATTATACTTATCCATTTTTTCCCATAAATGCATGAAATCCGCAGTCCAGTCATAGTGTTTTGGAAATATTATTCGTTCTTAGACTCAGATATAAGATTTTTTAAATATATTACATACAATTTGGAATATTATTCTTTAACTTTAAAACATGTCACAGTATGTGACAGTATGTGTCATTTAAAAAGAAAAACAACCCAACCGTACACGATATTGGATGAATCACAGTTTGGAATACATCAAGTCCGACATCAATTTTTCACGGTCACAAAAATCTTCACACCACGTTCTCTCTATTTTCTCCCTTATTCTGCAAAACATTTCAGCTTGAACGTCGACAAAAAAACAGCACCGCTTTATCTCGTTTCTGCGAGAAGTTCTTTGACTTCCGACGCAACCTCGTCGCTTCACCCTCGCGATGTTCGCCGGTCGCGAGAGACGAACATAATCGCGTGTAATTATTCGATCGTTCGCATTGCGTCCGATTTCGCCTGAGTCCGAGAAAACGGAAGAGAGAGAGAGAGAGAGTGAAAGAAAGAATGAACGAGAGAATGAACGAAAAAGAGAGAAAGAGAGAGAGAGAGAGAGAGAGAGAGAGAGAGAGAGAGCGAGCACGCGAGTGCGCGAGCGAACGTGTGTCATGGTTTATTTTATGCACGTGATGTACACACCACAGGGCCCCAGGGCGTGCAGGGGGAGCCGGGCCAGATGGGACCACCCGGTCAGCCGGGAGAGAGAGGTATCAAGGGAAAGCCAGGGAAGAGGGTAAGCTTCAGCGAGGTCCTCCGGCGAACGACCACTGACCAAATCAACCGTACAAACCACTTCATCCTACCAAACAACCACCCGTAACAAATCTTCCAACTTTCCGTCGAAATTCTGGAAGAGAACGAGACAGAAAAAAAAAGAAAGAAAAGAAAAGAAATCACGTTCCTACCAGCGCGTACTTTTGCGTACACCCTTGTCCCACCCGATCCATGTTTCAAGCACCGTTTCCAGGGATCACCTCCACCGGTCTACGTTCCACATTCCTGTCATACGTAACGCATGATGGAAACGTTTTGCAGCTTCTTTTTTCGCACGTGGAACGCATGCATCTGGCTGGGACATTTAATACCGTTTATTCTCTCTCGAACAACTACGACGAACTACAACGAACTACGACAACAAATACAACAATACGACAACCAACCACCATCGTCGTTCACCTCTTTTTCTGTTCCATCCCGCTTACGATTACCGTGGCCGACGCGATCTCCCTCGACTCCGTCGCGTTCGATCTTTTACATTTTTATTACCCCACGGTCCGGTTTTATCCGAAACCGTTTTCCTTTTGTCACACGACGGTTACATCACGCTGTTCTTGTTTCGCGTTGTCCCATCATTTCTTTTTTCACTCTCGTTCGTTCCTCCTGCAAACTCGACGCGGAACTTATGGTTTTCTTTTTTTCTCTTGGAATCGTCTTGTTCGCGGATGCGTCGGCTTTGTTCGTGGCGTCGCGATTCTTGTTTCGATCGAACGGAATTTTGATTTTTAATGGAAATTAGAACGTAGAGTTCGTTCCGGGAGACGAAGAGGGGGAAGTTGGGTCGCTGTGATGTGCTTCAGTTCTGCAGATTCGAGGTCGGTAAAGGTATCGATGGAATTTTGTATTTTTCAGACTGGATTGTAAAAAGTCTGATTGTTTAGATTTGCGTTGTATTGATTTTCTAGTGTTGGTAGAATTTGGGGCATTCGAAATGGAATAGAAGAATTGAACACTTCGATCGAGTAGATTTCTATTTAGTCGATTATTATCGTGATAGAATTCTTCGATTTTTAGACAGGGTTACGAAAAATTGAATTATTCAACTTTCCATCGTGTTCTACTTTCATTGAGATTTGAAGCATCTGAAGTGTAAAGTATAATTGAATGCTGCAATTCTGCTTTGGATTTATTGATTAATTATCTCGATAATTCTTCATTTTTAAGGAAGGAATCCAGAAGATCAAACCATTCAGCTTCCCATCACAAACATCTTCTGCTCTCATTATTAGAATTTGCAATATCTAAAATGGTTCAAACAGTAATTACTGTGATTAACTTCAACTCTCCAGCTTTAACTTCATTGATTAAATCACGCAATTCAATTTTTTCTAGAAAAGAATTCGATTCATTTCTATTCAAATTTCAATTCTATTCATTTCAATATTCTAGAAAAGAATCCATAAATCTAATGATTTATCTTTCTAACATACTAATCTTCCATTGTAACCTCTTCTGAAATCGCATTAAGATTTGCAGAATCTACTGTGGCCAAAACAGCAGCCACTTATGCTAAAAAATTCTAATTTCGCAGTTTCCGTTCTATTGACTAAACTGTTTCGATTTTATCATCTTGCTGGAATTCTTCATTCACAGACCTGACTATGGAATCCTTCCATCGCATTGATCTTCCACTACGTTATCGTACTATGATCTTCCACTATGTTCTCCCCAGAACTATCATTACGATCTGCATGATCAAAAGCTGATCATGCAGGATACCTAAACCGTGTAATAGTTTAATCACGTACCCAGAATTCTTCATTTTCGACGAAGTAGTTAACAAACTACCTATCCACCTCTCCATCATATTGATCTTCCGCTATGTTCCCTTCGTTCGCTATCGTTCGAGCCATCGTGATCAAAACTGATTAAAGGCGCAATCACTGTGACAAATTCCCGTACTGCAGTTCTCGTTGCATATCGGCCGGGTTACATCGATTTCATCATCTCCCTGGAATTCTTCGATTTCTCAAACGTAATCCGGGCGTGTTCTCTTCGGGGCTTGCAATCGGAATCCGTGGGATCCGGGGCGTAATTAAAACGGAGTCAAACGAAGGACGAACGAGGGCCGAACAATTCTTCGCGTATATATATATATCGAGAGCGATCCGTGAAAATCGCGCGCGAGACGCGTTCTCGCGTCGTGTGTTACATCTCGTCGGTAATCGTTACATCGATAGAGGCAATCTGTTCGAAAGATCAAGGCCAAGCAGCCGGAGTACATACATACATACATACATACATACGACACTGTTCGACACGACGACCACACTGTTACATTCATGCTTCGGAACGCCTACGTAGAAATCACGAAAAGCACATGCACGATTTTCTCACGTGAGCATGCAAGCATGCAGCACGCACGGCGTACAAGTCACCTGCTTCTTCTCGTTTAGCGTACTGGAACAAGTAGCCGTTAAATTGCATCGTCGTTTCGGCCCGACGATGGATGGAGAACGTTCTTCGCCACGCTCCGATCAGATACGATCCACGACCGCGTTCAACTGCGATTCCTTCGCCGCGGAATGCACGAACGCGAATACGTACGGTCTCTCTTTCAAGGAGTTTTCACTTTCGTGAATGAACGATCCTCGAACACGATAACGAGAGAGAGAGAGAGGGAGAGAGTCGCAATTTTCTGATCGCATGATCGCGATCCGGAGATCGGATCTCGTGTCGAGCGTGGAAGAATGTTCTCCGTGACCTTGCTACCGTCGGATCGTGCGACCCGCGACAGAATCGAGAAGAATCTCTTCGGTTTCTCGTGGAATCGGCGCGAACGTTCCGCGCCGCTGCGAATTATGATGTTTGGGCGGTGACATCGCGGATTAGGCATTTTTTCCTAGGAATTCCGTGCGCGATGAAACGATTTGGAACGATTTTATATAATTTTGTTCTGTTTTCTATCGGTTATTTTATTGTCGCAGTGTTCGTAGAAGAATCAAACGCGTTCAGGGATTTCAATTAATTGTATTTAGGAGTTTATTCAGTTATTGTTTACTCTGATGGTAGCTGGAATGTTTCTCGAACTCGAATGTCGATCTTCGCGAGATTCGTATTAATCGATGAATTTTAGAGTCTGAGATTCTTGCTTCAACAATTGAACGAGAAAACATCTGAACGAGAAAGACGGAAGTCGATGTAGTTTGAGAATGAAATGATGTAAAAATTCGTGAGAGAGACAATAGTTGAAAGATTTTTGTTTGGAGGCACAGTAAGAAATAGAAGTTTCACTTATTGAAAACGTTAAAACGATGAACTTTTGCTCAAGTGTTGCCAGCTACGATCAGAATTGTGCTAAATTAGTTACATTGTAACTCAAATGCATTGTAATTCGGATGCATTGTAATTCAAGCGCATTGTAATTCACGTCCATTGTAATTTAAATGCATTGTAATTCAAGAGTCCATTGTAATTCAAGTGCATTGTAATTCAGATGCATTGTAATTCAATTACATTGCAATTCAATTACACTGTAATTCAATTACATTGCAATTCAATTTCACCGCAATCCAATGACATTGCAATTCGACTACATTATAAACCAATTACATTGCAATCCAATTACGTTGCAATTCGATTACACTGCGATTCAATTATATTGCAATCCAATTACATTGTATTTCAATTATACTAAATTAAAAATGTATATTTATGTCAAAGATCATTGAAAAATCTGAACGCACAGTTGCATAAGAATCTCTCTAAAGAACATTTCTTTAAAACGATAAACAAGAATTAGTCGGACGAAAAAATTCTCACGAAGCACCATCGTCTCGTCGCGCCGGGCATCGAAAACTCTCCGATAAAGTTGCAAGCAGCTTGTTACCGAGCAAAAACATTGTTATCGCAAGGTACGCGCTCGCCTCGAAAACGAAGAGAAAACGAAGAGAAGTCGTTCGGCCATTTTGTCGCGCGGCGGTGCAACGACGCGTAGACGGAACGGATACGATGGAAATTACGATTCCTCGATTACGATAGAGAAACGTTGGTGGCAGCAAATAACACGTTCGTGAATCGATATCTACTTGTTGCTTTGTCCGATGTGCCTATCTACTTTGTCGGGACACCGGTTTTCTGTTACACGACGATAGGGCGCGCGCGCGCACAGACCTCGAGTCCTCGCTGAACAGAGGCGAGAGAAAAGAATGGTCCTCTTCGGAGGGACCTCGAATCGTGAAACATCTGCGACGAAGCGACTACCGATTTACTTATTCAGACTCGCTGTATCGTTTTCTTATTTAAAAAAAAAAAAATAGTAATAATAATAATACCTAAATTATGGCAAAAACCGCATTATGGTCCTGACCGTAAGTATTCTAGATCAACGACAAGTCGAACGAGCGATTGGGTTACATTCGACCAGCGTGTTAGATCCGCAATGTTAGGAAGCTCGCAGCGGCAAAATAACGTCGACGTTCGTAGTCTTGTTTCGGAAGAAGAGACGCGAGATTCGCTGATTGTTAAAATAACTGTCTATTCGTCTCCTGTTCGTCAAGAAATTAGGAGACCGGAACGGAGTAGCCGGCCATTATGGCGAACACTGCTACTTTTTAGCGTCTTCTCCCGATTAAAAAAAAAAAGAAAGAACTGGACCACAGTTCCTGTGTCGCAGTAATCGAATTAATATTCAGCCTTGACCATGACTGAGTTCTAATCGTCGTTGTGTCGTGTTCCTTGTTAGTGTGCTAGAGTGTGCGACAGAGCTGCGCATTATTCCGATATTGTTTCATTCGAGCAACGTTTCGATGAAGTTTCATCGAATCGAATTTGATTCGAGTAATTCGTATGTTTCATATAAATTCTAGCGGATAGCATTTTACCCGAGAAATATTTCAAATCAATTTATTAAGTGAACCAAAATTCTGAAGAAGGGGCACTCCTGACTCGTTTTCTTTGCATTATTCCAATAAATATTTCGAATAAAATTTTATTCGAATTATTCGGAGTATTTATTCATTATATCCCAATAAAATTTCGAACAATTATATTCGAAATATTTATTGGAATAATGTGAAGAAAATGAGTCTGGATTCCTTTTTTCACAATTTTGAAATATTATTCGAATACAATCGTATTCGAAGAATTGATTCAAAATATCATACGAATACAATTATATTCGAAGAATTGTTTCGAACTATTATCCGAATAAAATTGAATTCGAAGAATTGATTCGAACTATTATCCGAATAAAATTGAATTCGCAGAACTGATTCGAACTATTATTCGAATAAAATTGAATTCGAAGAATTAATTCGAACTATTATTCGAATAAAATTGAATTCGAAGAATTGATTTGAACTATTATCCGAATAAAATTGTATTTTAAGAATTGATTCGAATTATTATTCGAATAAAATTGAATGCGAAGAAATGATTCGAACTATTATTCGAATAAAATTGAATTCGAAGAATTGATTCGAACTATTATCCGAATAAAATTTAATTCGAACTATTATTCGAATAAAATTGAATTCGAAGAATTGATTTGAACTATTATCCGAATAAAATTGTATTTTAAGAATTGATTCGAATTATTATTCGAATAAAATTGAATGCGAAGAAATGATTCGAACTATTATTCGAATAAAATTGAATTCGAAGAATTGATTCGAACTATTATCCGAATAAAATTGAATTCGCAGAACTGATTCGAACTATTATTCGAATAAAATTGAATTCGAAGAATTAATTCGAACTATTATTCGAATAAAATTGAATTCGAAGAATTGATTCGAGAAATGCGCAGCTGTGGTGTGCGAACGATTGACAGCGGGTTAAGGGGTAGTGAGGCAAGCTGTGAGAGCGAGAGAGAAAGAGAGAGTGAGAGCGAGAGAGAGCGTGCGCGTGTGTGTGTGCGAGACTGACCGCTTACTATTAGTCAGTAGTACCTGGCGTAGTGTACGTAGCTTGATAACTAATTTGTGTTTAATGTAGCAAGTAACACCACATTACTTCTTCCCTGTGTGTCGGTTCAAATCATTAATAACTAATAACTACTACTACTACTGGCTTTGAGGCTCTCGCAACTTTATCCACCGGTGATCGATGCAAGCCTGCAATTGTCGCGTAAGTATCAAACAGACCCTAAAGTATGTAGCTTTATTTGCGACTCATCTGTGTAACAACAACGTGTTTTACACCGCCAAGTCCAACGCGTAATACCGTGATTATATGTATACTTTTATGTACATTGTTTTTTTTTTGTTTATTAATATTTTAATTTGTCCCCACTCTTTTGTTTCTCCTATTTTCTTTCTCCCGATTTCGAGGGAAAGTGTTGTTGAAACTGTTTCTTGGCGACCAGGCAATGCTTTGATCGAAGATGCGGATTTTTTCATGATACATAAAATATTTATATAATATATAAAGTATTTACATAGTATGTCAAATAATTTGTTTCGTAAATAATTTTAATGGGTTGGAAATAATGCAGCAGTGTCTCAAATTGTACACGAATTACTGCTTCGATCATTTTTGTTATAAATACATAAAATCCGCAGCTTAATGATGATTAATGTTCATTTGAGGTGAGCAACTATTTGCAGGATTTTGTTATATTTATTTTGAAAGGATTGTAGAAAATGGATTTCGGTTTTATGGTGCAATAGAGCAATTAACAGACAATTAACTCTTCTGTTAGTCTTTGGAAATAGAGTAACAAACAATTCGGCTACAATTCAACTGCAAAATTAACAAGTGTCAAATTTCTATTTTCTATTATTACTGATTTAAAACTCAACAAAATATCGTATTTGAACATTTCTATTTTCTATTATTTCTAATATAAAACTTGACAAGATATCGTATTTGTATATTTCTATATTCTATTATTTCTAATATAAAATTGAACAAAATGTCGTATTTGTATATTTCGATATTCTATTATTTCTCTAATATAAAACTTAACAAAATATCGTACTTGTATATTTCTACTTTCTACTATCTCTAACACAGAGAAATAAACAAATACGATGTCTCGTCAAGTTTCTGTTCAAACGTCGCTGAAAAGCAAAACTAAAAATGCTCGCTTCGAACGACGAGAAACCGCCGCCAATGCTCCGCAAAACCAAAATTCTAAGACAACTTCTAAAGAAACGGCCAACGAAAGAAGGAGAAAGAGAAACTCTGATAGCTTCCAGTATTCTACTAAATTTGATCCCACTAACATCCGCTCCCGTTGTAATCGATTGCATGTGAACCAGTAGTGTATTCTGTTCGTGTTGTCGATCGAGTGTTAATTATTGTGTCTAGATTTCGTGTTGTTATCGTAGCGGTAGTCGAACCGGTTGGTCCTGGCACGAAGTTCAAAAGCCCATCGGGCTCGGAGAAGATCCGAGAGAATCGACGCGACAGAAAACAAGCGCCGCACGGGATGGAACGGGACCAGATTCCCGGCAGCTGGCGCCGAAAAGTCGAGAAAGTGTGGAACCGTGCCGGAACCAGCCGTGAGAACAAAGATAGTGTCCGACGAGAAACACCGACATCCCTTCCTTGATCTCCGTCCTTCCTATGGGGAGAAAAAGAACCGCGCTTAACGCTTCGTCGCGCGCGAGGGAAACCGATCGTGCAAAAAAGAAAAAAAAAGAAAAGAAAAGAAAGAGTAAATGAATCGATTAAACAGAGACGGAGGACCTGGTTGGATCTGACCTTACAGTGTTGCGTTATAGGGTTTCAAGGGTGAAAGCGGTTTGGCATTGATGAGAGGCCCACCCGGCTTACCGGGTCCGAAGGGTGAACGGGGTTACCGGGGCGAGAAGGGCGCCAAGGGAGACGCAGGCTCACCAGGTAGATTTTCCACGAGCCATTCCTCTCTACGGGATGAAAAGGAAAAATCGGATCACGACGGTGTTCGTCTGCTTTCCTTCCTTTCCGACGATCGAAAACGGTGACCGATCTCGACGGAGGTGTCCCCTCTATGTGTACGGGAGCTCTCGATCGTTCCTAACAACGTAACGGCTTCTTCTGATTCACACTTCTTGAAAACTGCTGCTGGTTGCCTAACACGTTGGGCCCGTGGGAAAAACCGTGTCAACACTGTGACGGCCGCGCATGAAAATCTCGACGATTTTTATTTATTTCGATTTTAGTGAAATCGCGAGGCAACGTTGTGCGACGTCGATTTCATTTTTCTACGTTTTTTTTTTACCTCTTGCGAATCTTAATAATAAGATAATAAAGGCATATTAAGAAATTACAGTGGATTAGAATGAATAATAAAATTAACGTTCGGAAGCTAAATTCTTAATAATTCTGTTGAATAAGAATTTTAGCCGCGTGTAGGTGGCCCGATTAATAATATAAACAGGATAAATTCTGTTAACAAGAACGGCCGTCAAAGTGTTAAAATAACTGTTAACCCTTAGCACTCCGACGATTTTTCTGATGGATCCAGAACTCGTGATTTTGCAGTACAAAATCGAATTGAAAGAAAAATGATTGCACTGCTGTGAATACAAAAATTTGTCGATGAAAGATCTTATGCTTTTATTCGTATATTTCGCGTGATTACTTCACAGTGTGGAAAAGAAATCATAGTTAAAGAGGAATGCCACTTCGACATGAATACATAGTGCCGTATTATCGGCGACATCCGAGTGCAAAGGGTTAATAACTGTGATGCAAAGGTTTTGGTTAAAACGGTCATGGAGAACCGGTATTCTAAATATAACTGTGCTGAATAGACTGTGGATCTTTATGGAGAATGCCTCTGCCTCGACTGTAACAAACAGCAGTTAAATAATAATACTGGTATATTTTTCACGTTTATAACAAGTTGAAAATAATTTCGTAGCATTGTCGCATTGATTCCGTGCGTAACTGTTGTATACAGTCATTTGACTCTTCCATCTTGATTTTTCGCTGTTTAACGATAATGAATTTGTTACTATTCTCCTTTTTTATCTAAATTATTTATATTATATATTATATATTATAATATAATATGATTATATATTATATTTTATATATATTATATATTATATAATAATATAATATAATTATATATTATATTTCGTATATATATCATATATAATAAAACGCCATTTATTTCAATAAAAACACCCTACACAATCACGGTCGGGGATCGCAATTGTTCATCAAGACTCGCAATCTTGTTCGAAACAGTTCCGACGAAAATTCGCCGGACACGTATGCAGCAGAATTTTCACGCGAACGCTCCTTTACAAGCAGTACTTCTCCTACCTCTTGGTTACTTCAAACACGTCGTCGCGCTTCGAATAACAATGGTAAAAAGCGTTCTTTTTATATTCTCGAGTGACTGGCGCAATATGGATGGCGAGCGAGTGAATGCGATCTGCGGAGCAGCCGAAAAATTATTAACGGGATAATTAATAGTCTCTGCATTAATCGCAACTAAAGGTTGTCTGTACGGCCGCGAGTAATAGACAGCATTAATCACTGGGGATTAAAATCGAGCATCGCTCGCGAATGAGGCGAACTGTTATACTAGCGGAGAACTGTGTACTTTCAGGAGCAAGAGGAGAGCCAGGACCTTCCGGTTCACCTGGCCTGAACGGGACGGATGGAGAAGCCGGTATCCAAGGCCCGCCAGGATTGCCAGTAAGTAAATTATGCATAGAAACAATTTCGTCGGAGTCGGTTTCGAACGGAGTTCCGCGTTGTCCGAATTGTTTCGGATAAGTACAGTGATGTGCGTAATTATCGAATCAAGCTAATTACGTTTGTTGCCGGTATCTAAAGGATCGCTTAACTAAATATCATATTTGTATATTTCTAATTCCTATATATTTGATATATAATATTTAATATGTTCAATATATTTAATATATAATATTTAATATATTCAATATATTTAATATATAATATTTAATATACTCAGTATATTTAATATATAATATTTAATATACAATATTTAATATATTCAATATATTTAATATACAATATTTAATATATAATATTTAATATATTCAATATATTTATCATATAATATTTCTAATATATATTATATTTCTAATTATCCACAGCACTGTAGGTGTCCTCCTTTAGCTGAGATTTTGTGCATTTCTATATTTAAAAAGAAGTAGAAACTAGAAATGTAATTGTTTGTTTTCAAATATACAGGGTGTCTCAGTTGAAGGAGCACCTACAGTGCTGTGAATAATTAGAAATAATATTAGAAATACGTTGTATATAAGAAATATGATATAGTATAAATATATTAAATATTACAAACATTATATATATATATATAGTACACATGTATTATATACATTATTAATATTGTATATTAGGAACGATAGTAAATGAAAACAATAGAAAATAGAAAAATGCAGCTGTGATATCTTGTTAATTGTTCATTTACGTATCATTAACAAAATAACAGATACTTATAGTCACGTCTATAATTACGCACACCACTGTACACGTACACAGACGAAACAACATTCTGCAACGCATTAATAATCCCGTCATGTGCAAAGTCCGCGTTTTGGTACTTGTTGCCCGCGCCATGGTAAAAAGCTCTCTATTCCATCGCGGCGCAACAATAAACCGCGCAGAGCGTTGTAAAACGTTAAGAAAGTTTCGAGAAGCGATACAAAATAGCAGTCGCGACCATTCGTCATCCGACATTGCCCTCCTTCATGACAACGTACGACCGCACGCAGCTGCCGCCACGCGCGAGATACTTGACAAATTCAAATGGGAGATATTTTTACCACCCTCCTACTCGCTGTACGGACTTAGCACCTACTGATTGCCATTTTTCTTGGCACCTCCAACGAGTCTGCCAGCCTCCCGGATATTCGTACAAGACAGTGAACTCGAAACTGTAGCGGAGAACTCGTTGTAAGACGACGACGGTCTTCGGAGGAAAAGATTGAGAAGCGCGATCCATTTTAGGGGAACAGGTGTTCTTTTTTGTCAATTTCGAATATCCTTCGACGATCCTGAACGGAGCTGTGCATATTTTATTCTAAACGATCGATAACAAATTACGAGTTAAATTAATAGTTTATTTGGGAACTGTTCATTGGGAACTGTTTTAAATAACTGCACAAATAATTTATTAATTATTTCGCATTTGCTAATATTTTGCACGTTTATTTTAATTATGTGAATCATTTGAAAGAAAATGAATCATTGACGAATTCAATCGATTCATAATATTAATCGACGATCGCCCATCAAGGGAAGTTAACCGCCAACGGTTGAATGAAGCATTAACACATAATACTAATTTCATTTCGCTGTAGAAAGAATTTCAACAGTTGATCGTGCATCAATTATCGGATTGACGGTGAAAACCGTAGCGCTTTTAGCCGTTAACTGCCTACCAAAGTAGTGATTTAATCCTTAATCGCGACGCGCAATTAAACGACATTTAAATGTCGAGCGCAATTAACGATTAAAATCGGAATTCAATTATTAAATAGTTGCGGCCAACGATTAAATGCGTTTCGAATTTAACCGGAATTATCTTTTAATTACTTCAACCGGAATTAAGTTTTCACTATTTCAACTGAAATTACCGTTTCGCTATTTTAACTGATATTAACGTTTCGTTATTTTACACTTTATTTTATATGTACCTTTTAATTATCTTAACGGGTATTATTTTTTGATTATTTTAACCGGTATATTTACCTCTTAATTATTTTAATGGGAATTATTTTTGTATTATTTTCACTGTTATTCACCTTTTAATTATTTTAGTCGGAATTATTTTTTGATCATTTCAGCTCTCTTAATTATTTCAACGGGTATTATTGTTTTATTATTTGCACTGGTATTACCTTTTGATTAATTTAACCGGAAATGCCGTTCAACCGCTTTAACTAGAATTATGCGACTAATGATTAAATGCGTTTCAATTACGATCGGCGACACTGTCACCGTTTCATAGATAAAATCATCGATCTATTGGAACAGAGACCGATGGGACCACGGTTAACCAAATAATTTCATCGGTTTCTAGCGATTTGAAACTCCACTGCATGTTACACATAATTTGCGACCAACTTTTGTTCAGGGTATCGCCGGTCCGAAAGGTGAGAAAGGCGAATACGGTGACATCGGACCACCTGGCCTCATGGGTCCTCCAGGCTTACCAGGTCCTCCGGTACGTAAATTAATCGAACACGTTCACTGCCGAGTCGCGAGCCCTAAAAATCATCCGGCCTCCAAAGTACAATTTTCAGCCGAAAAATTACGGCCGCCTGCAATTATCGAAATTTTTCGTGGCGATCGTAGAATCGGAAAACCAGAATGTAATTTAATCAAAATTGTAACTTGAAACCTCTCCGAAATCGTTAAGAAAAATTGCTTTCGTAAAAAAATCTATCACAGATTTGTAGATTAGTCCAGATTTACTGTTGTACGATTTTTTAATTTTTTTACGAGTTACAACAATTTGAATGTCCATCGTTTGTCGAAAATTAGAGGAGAATCTTTCGTACGGCGGTGAACGTGTTAAAAGTCGATTGTTATCGGTTTCCATTCGATTGAATTAAGTGGAGAACGTTACTCACGTGTGTTTGGTGAACAGGGCTACCCAGGATCGAAAGGTGAAAAAGGAGAGAAAGGTGAATCGGTGAGTTGATCCCACAGCATCCCTTTGCAATCTATAATGGGCAGTAGACATTTTCTGATCAGTTATAGAAACTATGATAGAAGTGTAATTGAAACTATTATACATAAAATTTTTTATAAACTATAAGAATATCAATTATGTAATGATTAATGTAATGATATCAATTATTTTTAATATAATTATTATATCAATTATTTTAGCTATAATTATATCAATTATTTTAAATATAATGATATCAGTTACTATAAATGTAATGATATCAGTTATTTTAAATTTAATGATATCAATTATTTTAAATATAGTGATATCAATTATTTTAAATATAATTATATCAATTACTTCAAATATAATCATATCAATTATTCTAAATATAATTATATTAATTACTTCGCATTTTTATTAAAAGAATTTGAATTGTACAAATTTTATTATACATTTCCGATTATTGAATAATCTTTATTCTCGTCCGTGTACAAACGTTTTTAAAGGCCATTGTGTATAACGCGTATACGTATCCTTCTTTTGACATATTATTTGTACATTGTTATTTAGTACCGTGCGTTTGTCAGACGTTTTTTACGGAAAAGAAATGATTTACGTGGTTCCGCGCAGAGTGTAAAACAAAAAATTCTGCAACGTATCTGTTACATAAATCGAGGAACCGGGTGTTGCACGCTGTGCCATAGGTCTTCATTCGGAATAAATGTTTTTCCAGTCAATTTGCAAGGAACAAAAGTGAAATAAAAAAATCGGTTGCTCGTATTAAAAATTGTAATTGACTGAAAATAATCCGCCGCTGCATTCAGATTCTCGTAATATATTTACTTTACTGTATCCTCGATCGAAATAAAAAGAAGGAAAAGAAGCTAAGCAGCCAACTAAATAGAAAAAGCTGAACAGATAATTCGAACTGCTATCGAACGATTTCACAATTATTATGTGTTCTCTATTTTCATGATACGCGCCATCCGGTGTCCGACAACAGAAATACAAAAAGCTTAGACGAAGACAGGTGCGTACCATCAGACACGAATTTGTTAATAAAAACCGTAAGCGTTTCGATCGAGAATTTCCGTGTAAGAGACTTCGCGTGTAATTGTCCGTGTAATTCGTTACAGGGAGACGGCACGTTCGAAGTGAATGCCGGCGAAGTGGTGAGTAGAAAAAAAAAGGAAAAAGAACGCTTGAAACTTTCATTTCGTTCTCACCTCATTCTATTAAACCCTCATACGCCCCTCAGAAATAGTTGCAGAAGAGATCCTCGGGTTTTCACTTATTTCCGCCGGACAATTTAAATTAATCACTGTGTCCATTGTGGCGTATTTCTTTGACGAGAAAAAAGTCAATTTATTTTTGCTCTACGCGTGTATTCAAATGATTGAAAATAAGTCAGTAAGATTTTTAAAATTTTTGTAATCCTTTTTCTATTTTAATTTGCAACCAGCCAGTTTCTTTTTTCTAAATGCATAAAATTCGCAGGCTGCGAATCACAGATTCGAAAGGTTCGGTAGTCAATTAATATTTATTTAACAAATAACAAATTGTCGGCGTCAGTTTCCAAATTCTCCGCGTGTTCAGACTAGAATCAACGTTTATTGCAACATTTAGAAACCGAAATGGAATGCACAAGTTGAGGGGCGAAAGAGGATTTGGCATCGAGGTGTTCGAGGAAACTTTCCTAAATACTTAACGATATTGAAATGTTCACAGATAATGGGACCGCCGGGACCGCCCGGTCCAGCTGGCACTCCCGGGCTTCAGGGTCCACCTGGTATCAAAGGCGATCGAGGACACGATGGTGCCAAAGGCGATCCTGTCAGTAATCATCGTTTATTATGAAATTCCGTAACCAGAGCGTTATCTTTTTACGTAGAGTACGCCTTCAAATTTCTAAGAACGATTGTATATTTATTGAATATGCTATAATTTCAATTTCAACTTGATCTGAGCATTTAAAAAGAGTTTATTTCGACATTTTTCCGATACACAAACTATTTGTCAATTGAAAGCAAGCTAATTGAAACTATTTGCTGATTGAAACTTTAACACGTTCTAAAAACTAATCCAGCATTCTAATAAACACACAGATATTGTTGGAGAACTTTTAAAATAGGAAAGAATAAAAGATAAAATGAAAAGAATAGAATAGGAAATAATATAGGAAAAGACTAATTCAGCAAAAGTAATTTAATTGTTATAAACAAAACATAGGATAGATCTCAGAAAAGTACAGATTCTGAAACAGAAATCAGAAAAGAATAGAATAGGAAATAATATAGGAAAAGACTAATTCAGCGAAAGTAATTCAATTGTAATAAATAAAATATAGAATAAAAAGAACAGAATAGGAAATAATATAGGAAAAGAGAGACTAACTCGACAGAAGTAATTCAATTGTAATAAATAAAATATAGAATAAAAAGACTAGAATAGGAAATAATATAGGAAAAGACTAATTCGGCAAAAGTAATTCAATTGTTATTCTACAGTATGATAATTAATCGATGCCCATCAAATATTTTTCAATTCTGCTGTGCATAGATTTAAAGATACGAAGAATTATGGGGATTGAGGAGAACGATATGGTAAACCTTTATGAGAAGATTCGTAACTCAGTTATTCATTCAACAGCATGGTTCATTGTGCTAGTCCATTAGGATCATAAGCATCTCTCTGTCGATTCAGCGGTACACTAAATTTCGAGATAGGAGAAATTCTGGAGATAAAGGAAACGCGATGCCATTTGGTGAATCGTTTTGCACATTGTTCGACCTACATTATGCAGCATGTTTTATCAAGCCAATCGATCATGATCAAACATCTCTCGACTCAGCTGTACATTCATAGTTAGATAGACACTTTGCCCACGTTCTCAAATTGAAACTTGTACTTTTAGAGCGTGTAATCTCGAGAAAGGTAACAGATCAGCTCGACGTAACAGTGCAGTGGGCAACATTTTCATGAGTACAATCTTTTTGTTACGTTGCAGGGTGAGAAGGGTGCCAAAGGAGATCCTGGTCCAATGGGACTGCCCGTACGTATTATACTCGACAGATTAGGTCTGTAGAATTACGAAATGCAGAATACATTCCATTTCTGGGCCTGAGCTGGTCAGAAACATGCGGTGGACACTGTGATCCGTGAAACGATATTCGTTCGGTCCTCTGAAATTGTCGTTCCATGCTCGAGAAACAAATTAGGCTCTCTCCTTGTTCAAATTATAGTAAATTATTATTTACTATTATTATCGAAATGCGTGCTGAACATTAATTGTCGAGACATTTTAGTTGACGTCAGTGTTACTGGATCATCCCATAAACAGTGTAATTGTCTCTGACACGTAATTGTGTATAAAGAGATATGTGACAATAATAATTTTGCACCTTATAATTATCATAATAAGATCTTAAGGAATTAGGGGGGGGTCCCCTTATAATTATTATAATAAGATCTCAAAGAATTAGACTATTATCTTACAATTATTATAATAAGATCTCAAGGAATTAGACTACCTTATAATTATTACAATAACATCTCAAGGAATTAGGCCACTTTTCAATTATTACAATAAGATTTTAAGGAACTAGACTATCTTATAATTATTATAATAAGATCTCAAGGAATTAGGCTACCTTATAATTATTACAATAACATCTCAAGGAACTAGGCTACTTTAGAATTATTATAATAAGATCTCAAGGAATTAGACAACCTTATAATTATTATAATAAAATTTTAAGAAATTAGGCTACCTCGGATGTGTAAAATTCACAGTGTGCTCCTACCATGTTTCATTTCAATAATATGAACATAGAAGAATGAAATCTAGTCTTTATTATTAATATTATTATTATTATTATTATTATTGTTATTATTATTATTATTATACAACTCCGTAGGTATAATTCTGTACGCGATTATAAACAAAAGCAGGAATGTTGATGCGTTGGTCCAGTTTCATCGGTTCAACCGTTTCAGTTTATCGAAAAACCCGTGTAGCAATTAATTACGATAAAATTCGGCGTTCGATTCGATCGTTGATCCTTTGACGGTTTTATTTGAAGTGGCAGAGCGTCGAGCACCGAACAGTTTTACCCAGCAGAGATTGCTCTTCAGCAGTTAAGTGTAGCCGCACATTGCGTCGCTCTCGTTACTTAAAACGAAGTGGCCGTTTTGAAATCAATCTGCAGTCGCGCATACGCTAACTACGATGCACTTTCCTTTCAATCGTGCAATTAACGACGTGCTTCGTTAATAACACGAGTCGAATAAATGTTGCTAATAACGTAACGACGATACGTTTTCGAAAAATCTGCATAGAGATGAAATGATCTGCTAAAAATAGTAGAAGAACCGATTTCTACGATTCGAATTTTCGCGTAGTCGCGTGCGCGCGGCAACAACGGCCGCGTCAGAGCGTTTAAACGAAAGCGGAGCTTTCGAAATTGCATTTCAAAAGAACCAGATAGTATTATGGGATGGTCTGGTATCTCCGTGAAACTCGCCCGGCCCATAACGCGTTCCCGGCGCGACTCGGGGACTCGGCCACTGATTCGTCGCGTTTGTTTCTGTTTTGCAGGGCCCCATGGGATTGAGAGGAGAATCTGGAAAACCCGGAGATTCCGGGAAGCCTGGTGCTATGGTAAGAACGCGGACCTCTCGTTCCTAACGTCATCGTTAATTGGCCTCGCTGCTGAATCATTGATAGCCATTCACTAACGACCAGTGTAATCGATTGTCGCTTTTCCGACAAGGCGTCGTGTACTTCTTCGTAACCTCAGCGAGCTCCTTGATTGCCTCTTTAAACGAACAAACGCAAACGTAAAGCAGAGAAAACCGAAAGAGAAAAAATACAAAAACGGATTACAACAACGCTCTGTCGTAGATAAAAAAGAAAAAAAAAACAGAAAAAAAGAGAAAGAAAAATGTTCGAACGTGCGTGAACGACGCGATCGTCGAGCAAGCCGCACGCGTGTACCAAGATCGTAGACGAAAACAAAGATAAAAGAAAGAAAGAAAGAAAGAGACGAATGAGATGGGAGAGAAAAGGAAAAACCGGAAAAAAGAAACGATGACACGTGAGAGAGAAAACGTGTGCAAAGAGATCGTTGATCTTTGCGTGTACCTCGGTAGAGAGACGTCTGTTCGTGTTGACGATTTCCTCGGAAGTTCTCGACATTCTATACATATATACATATAAATATAAATCTATAAATATAAATATAAATACGAGTATAAATACGAGTATAAATATGAACAAGATTCGAAGATTCAGTCATATCGCTAGAGCGTTTTATCCGATAAGATGTAATTTGCGTGAATGAATGTTTTAGCGAGTCGCATTCGAGCTGTTAATTTTTTTCGGCCGCGATACTTTTCCGAGATAACGGCCGATGGACCGAACAGGTTGATTGTTGCTTGTTTGTCCATCGAGATATGTGCATCAAGAGTAAACGATGGTTGAGAGCGAGAGAGAGCAAGATAGAGAGAGAGAGAGAGAAAGAGAGAGAGAGAGAGAGAGCAAGCATAAGAGAGCGTAAGAAAGAGAGAGAGAGAGAGAGAGTCAGAATGACCGTCCGTTATGAGGAATAACAGATACGGTTGTGATATCACTCGATACACGCGATACCTGCTACTAAAGGACAATTTTAACCGTAAGAGAAGCTGCTTCGTCGCACGAACGAAACACAGAGTTCCGTGTGTTGATTTCCGAGCTGTTAAGACGATTGTACTTACGCATTGTGAACAATGCAAACCCGTGCGCGCAACCGCACACGACCGCGAACGGAGAACGATACAGTATTCTCTCCGTTACTGTCTCGATTTCGCCGAGCGACAGTTATGGCACAGTTGCTAAGGTTTCGGCGGTGTTCCAAAAAAAGCGTTGCGATTGAAAAGGAAACGTTAAAGAACTCGCGTGAGCTCGGCCTTTAAAACTAAAAAAAATCTATTGGTTATTTTTTGGCGAAGAGGTCTCTACCATAACTGACAGAAAGATCTACTCCGCAACCGACAAGATCCATCGTATCTCGTTTCGCTGATTAAAATGACACCGAACACGATATAATTACGATATCGGGCGTGGTGTTATTTTAATCGATAAAACGAGACAGTTATCGTAGAGATCTGTTTGCTATGGTGGAAGTCTTCTTGCTAGTCACGGTGGAGATTTCTCCACCAGTTACGAGAATACCGTAGAGATCATTCTCGGGCAGTTTAGGAGAGAATACTGTAGAGATCATTCCGACAGTTATGGAGAGAATACTGTAGTACTTGTTTTTGAGTTTTTTCGATGACTTCTGCGTTGGTGTGTGACAAAGGACGGTGTTTTCGGGGCAAACAAGTGTCTTCCATAAAATATTGAAACGAAGTGTACGAGTTTAAATCGTCCGACGGTACTTTCTTTTCTCGATATCGAATCGCCAATGTGTAACTCTATCTATCGGTATTTGTATACTTATTTATCCAACGTAACAGTTAACCGACGATCGCACTACCATCCGTCCTATTAACATAATCTCTGCCTGTGTAATCGCCATATCCTGTCTACGCCGAGGAAAACAGATGTTCGACGACGAGGTGCAGCGTAACGGGTAACGCAGCCGATTCTCTCGAACTCGTCGAACAAATGATTTACCGAAAGTATCCCGCGGCACACGGTTACGTTACTTAATTACCATAAATACCTTCCCCATCGTTCCCCGTACGGCTTTTTTCTCGGTGTATCTCACTATCGGTTCAATTTGAATCGCGATCAAAATTCTTGGTTGACCATCGCAGCTTCGTCTTATCTTCGCCTCCCTTTCGTCCAGTTTAGTTTCGAATTAACGCTTCGTACTTAATGATCGCCCGCTGTAGCGTAACCCTTGCACTTTTAACAGTGACCTACCAGTTTCCAGGAAATTATATTTCTCATCCCGTTATCGTCCACCAGTTTCGTTTCACACGATGTGTTCCGCACACGCATTGCGTTCGCTTCACGAACACAAGTCCTGGAGCTTATGTTACTTGGCTTATTTTTATGGCCTTTGTCGAGTGCGCGTTTTGCAACAATTTGGAGCACTGTACGTCCTCGTGCACACAATTAGAACTTTTCGATTTGGTTAACATTTTATTTACAATTTTTACTGCGATGAAATTCCAATGTGCTGACTCGATTTTTTAGACAACTTGATATTTTGTAGGAAATGACGCTTTGCATTGGTAAACTAGATCTAGATCAGATCTAAATCAGATCTAAATCAGATCTAAATTAGACCTAAATCAGATCTAAATTAGACCTAAATCAGATCTAAATCAGATTTGAATCAGATTTGAATCAGATCTAAATCAGATCTAAATCAGATCTCAATTAGATCTAAATCAGATCTAAATCAGACTTGAATCAGATCTAAATCAAATTTGAATCAGATTTGAATTAGATCTAAATCAGGTCTAAATCAGATCTCCATCAGATCTAAATCAGATCTACATCAGATCTAAATCAGATCTAAACCAGATCTATCTGAGACATTTTTGTTTAATTTTATTTTACATAAAGGGTCTCTTCTCCTTTAATAATTGTAATAAGTTGAAAATATTGTGAAAACATCTGTTTTATATATCCTTCTTGTAGTCGCTTTTAAATTGAAGGCTACAGTTTAAAAATGACACAAAACGCATAAACAACGAATCTCGCTTGGAACATAAGCGACAGGACTTAGGCGTCAACCTGTTAGTAGATCAAAGGATTCCCCACGAAACCGGATAAGTACATGAATGCGATGCAAAGCAGCTGCATAGAGCTTGCATCGGTGCAAGACAGTGAGACTGTGAATCGTACGTAAGCATACAATTGCCATCCCGAGTCGATAGTAATTATTATAGGCCCTAGATGTGTCTTCTGTTCGCAGAATAATTCGGAATGGAATCGATCCGTGCAATGAGAGCACTGTAGGAGAAGTTTCAGATTTTTGGCCACGGGGAACGTTAACAGGCCGGTACGCCATTTTGTAATGGAACTTCACTATGGAGGTAAAGTAGATGAAATCATTTTACGCTTGTATCGTTTCAATGATTTGTCTTCGAGAGACGGAATTATACTGGAAATTTGGCAAGTGGGAAATGATTGAATTTAATGTAAATGGAAAATGGAACAGGTTTGCGCAATTGAATTCGATTAGTCTATTAATAATTGAATAATATAATAGTTGAGAAGATTCTTTTTATATCGTAAAAGTGAAAAATCTATTTATTGTATTTTCTATTATAACGTTTTTTATATCCTCGAAAATAATTCCTCTGTACTGTCCAAATTTCTAGTATTTTCAATCATCACTTGAACTTTCTGCGTTGCGATAATCTCGCTTTAATTCTCACCAGCATAAAAAGTGCGTGTCAAATAATTTCGACCACTTTTCCTCTGTCCGAAGTTACGACAAAATAGTGCATCGGTCGAACAATACTCTGCGGCACTAACGAGCCTAAACTGTTCGAACTCAATCATTTTTATCGTTTGCGAATGTAAACAGGATTTCCTTACAAATAATTAAGAGGGCCCTACGAAGTGACAATATTTGACATTTTTTATGTAAAAATGACTTTTATATTCGTAGCTTATCATACGTTTAGCAAGAGTTGAGACTGAATCAATGTTTCTGAGGCTTAATTTGGTATTTGATTAATTAATTTGGTATTTAATTCGTTTCAATCTCTCATTTCTGGACTGCGGATTTTATGCGTTTAGAAGAAAAACGAGTAGATCAAAAGCATTAGATGACTTTTGATTTACTATTGCAATATTTTCAGCTAATCGAAATTATCGAGGCACGAAATTAACGCGAACATAGTTTCTGCGACTTGAAACTGCTGTTCGCAATTTTGATTTCGCATAAAAATCCGCGATCCACTCATTTCAATGCGATGAGAAAATCGTATTTCTCCCGTCTCGTTGATTTCGTCTCAACATCGCCATAGGTGAACAACTATACAGCGAAGTATGTATCAACGCGTTGAAGGCAAAATTTTATTTAATATTGTTCGTAGTAGAAAAGCTGTTGAAAGTAGTAGAGCATACGTATAGTCTCCGTAATTGTACAACCGAAAATGATTCTATGTGAATATATCGGAAAGCCAATGTTTTTTTCCCCATAGAACGCTCCGTGTATGCTAATTAAGGTACCGTAAGTATGCTTGAGAAATTAAAATCGAAGAAATTGAAGTTGAAGGATGACGGAATTATGGTTGCTGTAGACACTTGTGCAAACATAATGGTTTATGAAATTGTTGTTGGTATAACTGCATTGCCGACTATTTTAAGACTGATATTATGTGTTCTCCATTTTACTGGTACTTAGTTCGCTGACATTTTTTTATAGCTAAGAAATTCCCTGCTTTGTTACACGAAAATGAAATGCAAGATTAATTGTTATTTTAGCATAGCTCGTTACGTATAATTTATTGTATAGACAGTGTCTATATGTATACTCCGTGAGAAAGTCTGCCTTTCCGATTTCGAATTTTCTGTCTATAAGTTAATTTATCAGTTCGATTTAGATCGTGCGAATCTTTCCTTTTTTTTTAAATTTTTATACAGTCATTTTATGCTGTCATATTTTTTTATAGTCGTCACTTCATTTATAAAAAATATCGGTGCATCAAACG